TTCGTTTTTTTTTTCGGATTCGTAATCTACATAACAAGAGGATCGTAAAAACGTAAAAATTACCTCCGATCTGTTGACGATTTGCACGGGCTTTGCGAAAGAAAATCGAAAGGTTGAGAGAGTTTTTGAGTTTTTTCACTTTTTGTTTTTTGAAGAATGGTAAAAAATGTGCCTGACTGTTTAATATGTGTCTGCACAAATCATTTCAGTTATTAAATTCTAGCTAATAAATGTGATTTAAATTCATTTTGGAAAAAAAAAATTAAAAAAATTACCGCATATAGTGGTATATATTGGGCAAAGCACGCGTGTGATTAGCACACGTGTAATTTTGACAAACGGCTGTGAATCAGCACACAATTTGGTGGCAGGGATTAATAGGGGTGTGCATGGGTCGGTTCGGTTCGGTTTTAGCCAAAAACCGAACCGAACCGAATATATCGGTTTTTGTAAAATTAAAAACCGTGTATGTCGGTTTTTTATCGGTTCGGTTTCTTTCGGTTTTGGTTCGGTTTCGGTTTTTTTCGGTTCGGTTTCGGTTATTTTTTGGTTCAAGTGTCAATATATATTCAAGTTGTACAAACAAAAGAATACAATTACAATTACTTTCACAACTTACTAATGCAATGAAAATATAAAATATTTAATTTCATAGGACTTAACGTAATTTAGATGATGTATTATGCTTCATTTTTTTTTTCCTACTTTCATCTACCACATTATTAAAACCATGAACTCAAGTAAATTTTTGTTTACTAAATAAATAAAATACAATGTCACAATTTATGAACAAATGCTTAGAATGAGGCAAGTAATTGAAACATAGAAAATAAATATTATGGTAAAATAATACATATATTATATAAAATGAAGTCATTTTATAGTTTCGGTTCGGTTCGGTTTTTCGGTTCGGTTATTTACCTTCCCACCATACCGAACCGAATAATTCGGTATTTCAAAAATAAAAAACCGTACATGCGGTTTGCTATTCGGTACGGTTTAAAACGGCTCGGTTTTTCGGTTTTCCGGTTCGGTTTTTCGGTTTTTTTGCTCACCCCTAGGGATTAATTAAAGCGAGTGGGGCCCACCGGCTTCCAATATAGGTAGACGCACGTGTACACGCGCGGCAGGCTTGGGCAATATGGGCCAGCCCATCACGTGCACCCAAAAGTTATATTGGGCTTCCAATTGTATTTCAGCTGACATTGCCAGATCAGGAATGACCATTGTGGGCCCACTTCACATTAGAAATATCATTTTCAACCCCTATTGTTTTTCGAAATTGCATTTTGAGTCCCTACTAATCGAATCCAACACCAATTTCAATTTTTTTATTCAACAAAAAAAAATTCTTATAGAATTAGAACTTGACTCAAACTTCATATCTTATCGGAAGAAAATATATGTTCAAGTTTGGTTAGTTATGTTCACAAACTGAGCTCAAACGAGTTTCTAAGAAGCAATCGCTAATCGAATATTGAATAGTTTGGTTTAACTTTTAACTTTAATTAGTAGGAAGATTTATGTGCTTATTAATTAGGTATGTCATTTGTCATAGTGACCTAGAAAAAAAAAATTAGAAATAAAGTCCATTCAGCCAATTCATACACAATTATCAAAATACTATATTTTAAGGGTGCAAAGTGCAATTTACTTTTTTCGAGGACGCAAAATGCCAAAACACTATATTTCAAGGGTGCAGAGTTGTAATTAAGCATGCATTATTTGGTGAACACTACTAAGGAACTTATTAAATAATATTCAAATCTAAATTTTAGAAGGCAAGGAAATTATGTATCAATGGATTATTATCTAGTGCTTGACCCCTTTTGCACCCTTTCATAAAGACAATTTTTAGAAATTATTATATATTCATTATTGAAACAACCAAAAATAAAATATATAAAATGAATATTATTTTTTATTAGTAGAAATCCGATAATTCAACTCTAGCGTTGCCACAGAAATGCCTTATTTAATTTTTTTTTATAGGAAATAATTAATTAAATATTTTTGCCAGTGAATTGTGCATGGTTGGTATGTAGCAATCCCAGCTAGGGGTTTGCTCACGAAATTATAAACAGTGATTGTAACAACTCATTTTGCATTATGAACTTTTAATAAATTACTTGGGACAAGTACATATGCAATTGGGATTATTTTGTGTTGTGTCTACTATTAAATTTAAAATAAAATAAAATAAATTGTAATTATTTTTCTGCATAATGAAGGAATCCGCAACCAACTATATAGGTGCACTGAGTAAACCTACACATGGTACTTAAACTGAGTAAACCTACACATCGTATAATAACTTGCAAACTGTAAATCGTACTTAAACTGTTAATTGTTTTGCGCTATGACGATGAATATCTATCTTTTTATTCATTTTCTATTAGTGCATTATATTTCTTTTAAATGTTTTAAATTGTTTTACTCTTATATGAGGGATTAAATTAAATTACCATAGTTAGTCAAACTTTCTTGCCAAAAGATTAATCTATCACTAATTTATTTATAACTAAATACTTAAATTTGTGTTAGGGGTGCACATGGAAACATTGACTTTTAACATAAATAGGAATGTTAAATAATAATTTTCAATGCTTTGGCAAAACTCAAACAAATTTTTAATTCTTATATCTTTTTATCCCACTAAGTGCAAACTAATTTTAAATTGTAGGAAGATTTTCCTCATGATTAGTGAGATATATACAAGCTCAAACATTAATTAGTCAACACTTATCAAGAGTTGGTAGTCACAAATATTCACTTTTTCTATAGTCCCTTATACTAATCTCATCATTAAAATGAAGTTCCCACTAAACCATATATACATATATTTATATATATAATTAGACTCAATCTCTATGAAATCAATCATTCGAAAATAAACCTTATTTAAAAAAAAAAAAAAAAAAAAAAAGAAAGCAATACACACACACATGTTTATATACATATATAAACACAGACATATATGGTGGATAAATTAAATGAAGAATATAACAAGACCACTATATTTTTATATATACAGTTAAAACCTCTATAAAATTATAAATTAATACAGTTGGAATTAGGGAAATTTTATTAATTAAGCGAATTATTAAATTATCGAGTTAATAATTTAACATGTTTTCACCGAATCGGGACCGAGATAAGCTATTATTTAATCGAGATTATTAATTTATCGAGTATTATTTTGTCGAGGTTCTACTTTATAAATACAAGAACTAGGCTTAATGTGAACATAAGAATGAGTTTGTCATGCAATTGGCCTACTTTTAACTTTAGATGATTAAAGAGACCTTAAAAATATTAACTTTACATAATCTCAATACTTAAACCAAATAGGCTGCATGCGTAAAGTTGCTACGTCAAGGCTAGAACCCTATTTTAATTAGAAGAAAAATAACATGTATATTTAACTATCTGGCTATGAAAATAAATAATAATAACAATAATAATTAAGGTGGTGTTTGCAAATGATTATTTAAAAGCAGAAGTTAGTGATTATGATTTAAGTTAGTTTTAAGTGCTTATTTCTAAAAGTTGGGGGTGTTTGCAAATATTTCGGAAAATGAACTAAAATTGAAAAAGCAGGGTTAGGGGTGCTTTTAAAAAAATAGCTTAAAGCAGATTATTTTAAGAGAAGCAAAAGCAAAAGTTGATTTTGCAAAAACCTAAAAACAGATTATGAGCAAAAAAAACCGCATAATCACTTTCAAAAAGCATTTGCAAACACCACCTAAGTAATATAGTAATTAATTAACAATAAACGTGGTTTGGTTTGAGTTTTTAATAATGTAAACATCGTACTTTGACACCTACAACCATCCAACTTTGTTCCTTGAAATTTAGACCACTCTAACTAAGCCTATACCACACTTTAATCACAACATACTTCTTAGGATATATAGGCTTTTTGTACCTTTAATTTATTTTCATTTAGTTCAAGGCTTCAAGCTTTTATGACTTATAGAATTAACTTAGCATTCAAGTGTTGTTTTTTTCTAAAAAAAATGATTATAATTGATAGCTCGCGAGTTGAGCTGAGAGTGAGTTGACTAGGAATACGAGAGGGGCACAACATACAAGATTCGTTGATCGAACTGAGAACAATGTTCGCACGCATATAAACACTTAAAACACTCTGTGACACACCAAATAATCCATCAGCGATTATACTTCGTGCTCAAGTTACTATGGCGATATATTTACCATAGTAATGACTAGTTATACACTACATCAATATGTTTCTATATATAATTAAACATGATGATTTCTTGCTTCCGACTAATTTGGCCAACAAACAAAGATCTAACCATAGATTTCATGTCCCAAGCTTTTGGAGACAAACATCCATCATTCTTTTTTTTTAATTTCTTTCCTCCTTTATCTTCATAATTGACCTCTTCAAATTACCTTACCACCACTAGTGTTACAAACTAACCACCATTGAAGTAAAATTAATTAATTCAACCATTGCAATTAGTATACCAAACTTCTTCAAATACATATAGCATCAAATTAGTGGCAACAATCATCCTTATTATTATACTTGGAGTTTTTTTAGAACACGATGACCGTACAGCAGTACGCTGTTACACCTAGTGAAATGCATCATCGAACTATTTCTGTTGAAATAAAATAAAATATATTTTATATCAAACATAAATCAATTGTTTCAAAAGATGAAATCGTTTGCTCAATCTTGAAGCCAAAAACTAATAGACCCCACAAATTAAAGAAAAAGGTAAAAACCTTAGTTAATTAATCTCCTCTCTTGCTTTTCACCTTTTTATCTTCTTCACATTTTACTTTGTCCCTCAATATTTTCATCTCAAATCAAACTAGTAACATGATATACACTTTGATTATAATAATTATTTGAATTAACACAAGTTTTACCAATAATTAACCACACAATTAAAAGTTTAATACACAAACACTGGAAAACACTAACCACCCCAAACCAATTAATTACTCACTAATCAAAATACAAAAATTACAATATTTTTTTTTGGTTGAGAAATTACAAATGAGTAGTCTCATAAACTGGTAATTCTTGTCTATACCTCTCCATTCCAATGGCTGAAAGATTATCCAATTCGAACAAATCCGAACTCGCACAGCTTGCCGCGTCATCGTCTTCCTCGTCGAAATTATTTTGATTAATGATTTGATTATTTTTAATTACTTGCGGTTTTCTTAAATGATCGAATGACGAATCGAATTCACATCCGACTTGGTTTTTCCGATGGTAATTCCGTAGCAGATCTCTGGCGGCATCCTCCACTCGCCGGTTTTTGTCCATTACATGAACCATGAGCTCTTCGTTGATGACGTTTCGGAGACTGTTAATGTTGTTTTTGTTGTTGTTGTTGTTGGCGGCGGTGGCGGTGAATTTTGAAGTTTGTTTTTTGGTGTAGTTGTTGTTGTTGTTTACTTTGTCGTCTACGATCACGCTCACAGGAGAAAATCGTACGGATCGTTTCGCGCCGTTGGAAGGTTTACTACCTCCGGACGACGACGGCGTTTTGCTGAGGCAGGATCTGGAGAATGATGAAGCCGACGAGCATGTGGATGCATTTGCCGATTTTAGCGACGGGGAGTAGTCGCCGTTGGCGGCGGTTTTAGGTTTTTTCAGGTTTCCGCCGGCGAAGATAGAGTTCAGAAATCCGGCGAGCTTGCCGCCGGGAGAAATCGGCTGCTTCACTTTCTTCAAGTCGCCGTAGATTTTCAGCGCTCGCGATTTCGTCTTGAGAAATCCGCCTTCGTGCTTAGGTTTCTGCTCCACGTCGCCGGCGAAACCCCGCCTCTCGCGGCGGTGGAACTCCGATTCGGAATCGCGGTGGTTTTTCTCGAGTTTCTCCTTTTCCAACCCCGTCCGAATCGGCTTCGGCCTCTGCACCGGAAACGATTCAGCCTCCGACGAGGAGAAAAAATCGCCGCCGCCGCAGCTGGAATCGGAGGAGCTAGAAGTCGAATTCTCCCGATCCTTCCGCGGCTTCTTCATCCCCAAATCCGCCGCCGAATTTCCCCGTACGGCGACCTTCTCACCGGCCTTCTTCTCCATCCATTTCTCAATCATACAGGCGCGCTGGAAATTAGCCATTTCCTCCTCACTCCGAAACACACCGGCGCCGCCGTCGGAACCGTAAGCAATACTCTGCTTCGTCCTCATACCTAATTTCTCCTCTTCTCCGCCCTGATCAATAGATCTGTAAATCGTATCCAACAAAGTGGAAGAAAACGAAGGATTGTATAGTGAGGTATTAATATCACTCTGCCTTCTGTAATTAGTACTATACCCATCCACCATAGCTTCCTATATATATATATTTATAAAATTGAAGAAGAAACAAGGTAGTGTGAAGGGAAGCTTTATTGTCTGCTTAGAGATTGTCAAAAAAGCTGCAATTAAACAAAATCATGTGAACAGAGAGACAATTACAGCAGTTGGGGAAAACAAACACACACACACACAGTACTTGGTGCATATATATATATATATATATATATAAATATAAAATATGTATGTATTATTTAAATAAGAGGAAATTAAAACAGTGACTTTAGGTGGTGGTGTTGGGTTGGGGAAGAGCAGCCATGTTTATGATGAGTGAAAGCTCAGTGGTGAGAAGGGGAATTAAGAGTAGAGACAAGAGTACTCATTTGATGTTTGGGGGATTTGTTTTGTTTGATAATCAAAGCTTGTTTGCACGCCAGCTTCTAGAGAGAGAATCAAAAGAGGAGTGAGAAAGAGGAGAGAGAGAAATGGTGTGTGATTCTCTCTCTAGTGGTTGTGCTTTATATTGGGGTTTCAAGGAATATTATTATGTGCAATTTCAAAATTATTTTTTATTTATTTTATTTTGTCAATTCAATTATTCAAATTACTTACAACCATGTCCGGGCCAACATTGGGCCCGGACACGGTCGCTCAACATTTCTCAAATCAATATTAATTTATTTACGAATATAATTTTGTTGTACATTATTATTAACAGCATCTCTCATAATCTTTTTTAATTCCTTCCGAGTCCGACCCGACTGAAAAATTTCGATGTGCTAATGCGTCCAACTAAATTATGAGCTTATTATAGAATGCATCCCTTGAATTATACAATTATTTTATATATAAAAACTTTGGATTTTTGTTACATTGAAAAACCAAAGATCTTAAATTGGAAATTATTGAAAAATACCTATATTTTTCCCTTATAATCTGAAATTAATTGGAAAAGTGACTCGAAATTCTTTTTTATTTTCGTAAATTTAGAATGAATGAATCGTGTTTGTTGTAAAAACTAAGCGTCATCGAGGAGGTGAACCATCTGATTCAAATGATCGATAATAATTAAAAAATAATATATATATATACATTAGTTGTATTATTACGTATATAATATTGATATTAAATTATATTAGAGTATATAATAAAGCTGGAGAAGTTGGGAACAATAAATTTTCAGTTGAAGAAACCATGCAGTGTGATCTCATTTATTCAGTCTTGTGGTTTATGGCCATACCATATACATATATATAGCTGTCATACGTGGTACTGTATTTCAAGATTAGGACAAAGGACGTGTTACGGAATAACATTAAACTAATCAAAATAATTTAGTTCCAATTTGGAAAAGGAACAATTTAATATTTTTTTGGTAATAATAATCATTTAATTGGATAATAAATTCTAGAACGCTTTCTTCTAGTAATTTAAGATTCGAATTTAAGATTTTCTCTGTCATTTCATTTTCAACAAATTGCCCTTGAAAAAGGGTAAATAATAACTCATGTATGCCTTAATTTAGTAATAGGCTTCAAACTATATTGTATTAAATATTAAATATTTTATATATTTTCAAGCTCACGAGATTATTAAATATTTTTTTTCAGGAAGTAAATGCCTGCATGCATGACGAAGTTTTCAAATTTATTTAAGAATTTGCTCAATTTTTAAAAATCAAGTCGATAGTTTCATATTAACGTTTCCATACCATTTGTTTTTCAATTTTTCTGACTTTCTTAAAAAAATGACTACTAAGTAAACATTTGTAATAACTAAAGAATTAAGAATGGTTGGTGTTGTATAATCAAGAAATTAATATAACATTAAAGAAATAATGCCCAATTTAAAAGTGTGACTAGTGTGCATGCACGTGCACAAGAGTGTAAAAAGTCATAAAGTATAGCACTTTTAGAGCCAATACTTCAATTAATATAATTCAATTAATCCAATTAATCCAAGTAGTTATGCTAGTTAAAAAGTAACACCTCACTAAGATAACATAACAAAGCTTATCTCTCTAAACTTGATAAGCAATGGAATAAAAAATATATAATTTAAGATGAATATAAGTCTTAAAATTTATAATCTACCTCTAAATTAAATTTACAAGTTTCTTTTATTTTTCAATATTTTTTTTTAATGTGTGTGCTCAAGTGTGCGTGTTTGGTTGCGTGCGTGCGTGAGGGAAGGTGGGGACAAAATAGAATAAAATTAATTAATTGTTAAGTAATTATTAAATATGTAAAAATATGATTGCACTCGTGGCCCTTGGGCTCTCAATATATATTACCTTTTCTCTTTAAGGGGTTGGATGTTATGCAAAGTTGGAAGATATTCCACGGAAAGAATTTAATCAAGATTTGATTTGATTTCATGAAAGAATTAAAGTCACTAGTGACAAGATTATACCAAAAATAAAATTAGACTAATTCTAACTATAGGGATCATATATAACTTCAAAATACAATTTAATGTATAGTGAAACGTTCATCCCACAAAATTAATCGAACGAATCTCGGACATCTGAGTTACGAAAAATATGAAAGTCATGCGACATTGAGCATTCTCGCACACACATTAAAAGCAAAATTATAATAGTAGTAATAATAATTTTAAGAAGACTAATTGAAGATCCCATTCATATCATGAGGGTAATGGGCACTAGAGATTCCATTAAGATAAATACAATCAAGTGCATGAAAGACCTACCAATGTGTCTAATGGATACACATACGTGCAAGAAGTAGTTATTCAAACACATGTTCCCCATTATCACATTCACCACTGAAAATCAAATCAAATTACTCGATATTCGATTCAAAATCGTTCATTTAAAACTTGTTTGAACTTCAATCGATAAGATATGAAGCTCAACTCGAACTCGATCCATGTTCTAATCGACTAAAGCTCGTTTGCACTCAACTCTATTGCTTATCAAACCAAGTTCAAAAGCAGTGACGAAAAACCTCAAAAAAATGAAATTACGGGTGTAGCCCTATCGTTTAAAATAGGGTATATGCGCCTATCATCCCACTACTAGTTTCCACTTTCATAAACAACCGTTGAAATGTTGATGGCAAAAAAAAGGCTACAACCATTAAGCAAATAGGGAAAGCAATGTTTGCATTAGCACAAATGTTGTTTGGTAACTTCTCATATCAATTAAGAAATTAATTTAATTTTATATATTTTTTTATAAAGTTAAATTGATGGGTTGATGTAAATAATCTACACATGATCCGAGGAACAAATACTGCTAAGTGGGCCAAAAAGAAAAGAAAAGATGCAGAGGCAATAATTCAAGGATTAATAACGTCGTACATATACTAAAAAGTCTAGGTAAATTTGCAGTAGCCACGTGAACCACTGCTGCCATTGTCTTCCCCACAAGGCCGGACCTTGTTCATACATATTCACCACATTTTTACTTCACTCGAAATAATAATTTTGGTTTATATGTAACATAAAATGAATATAGGACTTTAATGAAAATAATAATAAACGCTGCTACATTCACACAGAACCAGAGGTTAACATGTTTCAATTGAGTGAATTACAAGTTTCTGCAACATAGTGTTACAAAAAGTAAGTGTGTGTGTGTGTGTGTGTGTGTGTGAGAGAGAGAGAGAGAGAGAGAGAGAGAGAGAGAGAGATTGCTTTAGTTGGGGGGTAAAAGAAAAGAATGTGGGGGATAGAAAGGAAGGAGATGAGGGAATCATGTACAATCACCAAAAAAAGAGTTTTTGGCAATCCCAAGAAGAAAAATCAGTACACTCTCCACCCAAAGAAATTTAAAAAAAAAAACAAGAACATCTGCTGCTGCTGCATGCATCTTAAAGTGTGTTATGTATACTTTCAGAGAGAGAGTGATGGATGAGTATTAACACAACAAATCAAAAGACACATCAGCCTCTTTATCTTTCTTTTTTTCCCTCCCTCTCTCTGACAAAAGGCAAAACCAGACAACATGATAATTCCTTTGTTCACACACACACACACACACACAGTGGGGGGAGTGTGCTTTTGAGTGTAGAAGGCAACAACAAGAATAAAGAGACGATGATCAATGAAAGTAACAATAGAGTCCAATTTTTTAAAACGAATCAAACAGGGTGGTGGGGAGTGATCCGAGGCGAGACGAGGCCCAACCGTTGCAGGTTTTCTTTTTCTAAAGCTAATAAAAGATGATGTGTCCACTTTTGCTATTTCCCATCTTATCTACCCTTTTTTACCCTTTGCTTTTAAGCTCTAAGCATACACTAACAAATTCCAAGTTGGGCTAAAACTGAAATTTTCTAGTTATTATATCCAAAAAATCGCTAAACAAGCTCTAACAAGGCATCTTACAATATAATACCAAAATCTAGTCAAGACAAGTTAAGTAGTTTCTAATACTACAAACTTAAGAAAATTAACTTGTTAATATGGACAGAACACAGTAAAGATTTCTCACAGAACAGAAACAAAACTAAGAGCTGAAACAAACTATCAAACCTTAGTAAATGAGATACTATACGAAAAAAACGAACAGCATCTCAAGTACTAAGAGGTACTTGAGATCTGGAGCTCCTACTCAAGGAATCTGTCCTAGAGATCAAAATAGGCTAAGGCAAGATGGGCAAGACAACTTCTCAATGCATTCATTAAAACCATAAAGCAGTCTTTACATTTCATAATGACACAGTTAAAGTACCTATAGCTTTTATATCTGCCTTTGCAAGCTAGAGGAGGGGGTCCGTCCAACAAAGAGCTAGCTCTCTTCAGAAGTTTCCGTTCCAATTCAAGTGCCCAAGCTGAGGTTGCTGATAGGCACCCACTTGTGCTCCGGGAGCTGGAGCGGCAACACCAACATTGCCGCCAATGGAGGGGCCCATATGGTGAGGACCTGCAATTGCAGTGGGCTGTGGAGAAGGATGGTACATTCCCGGGAACTGCATATGAGACGATTGTGCAGCCGCGTTAAAAGAAGCATGACCACTGTGTGATGTCAAATAAGCAGGATGAGGTGTCTGCCCAGGCATGTTGTAGTACGATGCTGACTGCATACCAGAAAGATCCCTTGGGTTCATCCAAATTTCAGATGTCTCTGCCTATATTACCAAACATGTAAAAGCAAAATTAGAATTGATCGCCAGTTATATCTTGCAGAATCAGAATGCCTTCAGCAATGTCGATAGAAAAGTAATAAACATCTTCAAGATTAAAACAGGGGTCCCATCAGAAAAATTACAGTTCCATGAGCCTTTGAATTGTTGGATTATATTTCCCCACCAACAAAGATAAACAACATTATTTATGAGACGATACATATTTCATCTCTTAATACCCACCACAGCCACCTTTTACGAAATACTATTGTTGCCAACCAGCAAATATAATATCAGTAGATAAGAACATAAACATATAGACAGACAAATCTATGTGCTACATGCTAGCCCAAAAACATTGAGGCACGCATAAACTAATATATGCAAAGTAGGACACTAAGATCCTGTTTAGTGAACCATTGTTTCTGGTAGTTAACTAGTTCCCAACTTTTCATTACCAACAGAAGTATTCATTACAAATATTCAGCACATGGTTCAATAGTAATAAGAGTAAAAAAAAAAAAAAAGATGTTAGTTTACCTGAGGGTTAGGAACATAAAGATTATCTTTGTACTTGAGCCGAGATGAATCATCATGCCCAGGTGCACTTGCAACAATCCCAGGAGTACTGATGGCATAACCGGACTGATTGGTGAAGTTTCCAAACCCAGTTGCACTACCAGCAGGGACAGGCTTAAATTGCTGGATGCCGTACTTGACGCCACTTGATGCCTGGAAATTGCTATTTCCAGGCATCAATACATAACTGCTACCGTTTGAGGGATGAGGATAGGCAGGACTGTTAGAGTAACCAGGCACAGGCATTGGTGGTACATAGACAGGAGATAGGAACTGACGGTACGGCATTAGATTAGCAAAATGAGAAACATGAAGCTGGGGGTACATCTGGGCCAGCTGCTGCTGCTGTTGCTGCTGTTGTTGTACCATTGCCATCGTGGAAGCAGGCATCGCATTTGATGTGTGCACACTTAGGATCTGTGGACAAAAGAAAATCGAACAGCTCTAAAAGGTAAGAAAAATGTAGTAAAGCCAAAACACAATCGCCCAATAGATTCAAATACAGAAGAAAATCAACCCTTCAACCAAAGAATAAAAATAAATCTTGTTCATTATTCCAGAGGATATTATAAGTTTGAGTCAATAGAACAAACAAGCAGATGTCTCATTCTAGCATATAGCTGCAAGGGAATGGCTATTAAAGGAATCTCCCAGGATGCCCTTTTACATTAAATGGCATCGAACATATGAACATTTAATTGGGAGGTAAAGCAAGTGGGTCCAGGGATTGACAACATCCATGTATCAGGGTTTTGATCTTCTGTTGTTGAGGATATGCATGAAATATACAGTCTCTGATATTTGTTTTAATCCAAGAGCTTATATATGGATAAGAGTGTATGATGGTATGTTAATGAGCAACAGGGCCTCCATTTGTGTGATTGTGTGTATGTGTGTGTGTGTGTGTGTGTGTGTGAGAGAGAGAGAGAGAGAGAGAGAGAGAGAGAGAGAGAGAGAGAGAGAGAGAGAGAGAGATGATATGTAAAAGTTTGATTCTTACCTCCTGTGATGATGGCAAGCCCGACCCTCTAAAGGTTTCATCAACAATTGGACGGAAGTATGAGATATCGTATCCCATCTGTGGATCATAACCCTGAATGAAACAAAAGGCGAAGTAAATAACTTGGGATGGTCAATACGGCAGTGAGTCAAGTGAAAAGATATTTGAATCCTTAAGTGTTCAAGAATGCAATTAAGCAGGACAACAGTCAAAAAGAAACCTAGCATGCTCTGTTACAATCAAATTACTGAACGGGCAACAAAATCCGTACTCACCGAGAAGGTCGGCAATTCAGAAGCATCTTGCTGCTGTAGCAATTCTGGAGTGTAAGATGGGCTATTTACTCGTACCAAGCCAACAGCAGCATAGTTTTCCAGATTCTTCGGATTTGAAGGCTCTTTCTTCTCCGTCAGTGTGTGATCAGATACAGCACCAGAATCGGGAGAATTGGACTCTGAGCTGCGGACAGAGTCATCCATCGTCTCTACTTGTCTGCTACCACCAAGATCATCTGGTGAAGATTCTGGAACCGAAACTGAAATGCTGCAAAACAAAATTGTTCAGTCATTCTTATTGGTACTCTTCAAAATTACAGTATAAATGATCCACCTAAAACAAGCAAGGGGACTTATTGAACATCTAGAAACATATCAATTAGGGATCACTTTCAACATAAATGATTGCAACCTTTTAAATTCATCCATCATCCTAAGAGAATCATTTCTCACCCACAATCAAGAAACTTGCATTAGAAAAATCTTAGTTTTCAGAAGTCCCTAATGCTGGTTCATTTCTAATTATGGATAAAAAACGTTTTTTATGGAAATTAACTCAACAAGAGTTTACAACTAGCCTTAAAGATGATGAATACAGTAAACATATCCACTCAAATGCTTCCTTGAAAGAAAAATGATCCTCACAACTCAAACTTCTAGGAAAATGTACTATAGAAGCAGGTTGGACAGGGCAAAAAGAAAAAAAACAAATATGGCGTAAAAGGTAATGTAACATTAGAAGTTACGAGAAATTATATAGCAAGTTACAAAATTAAAACAAACCTTCCAGAAGGTTCAGCAGATACTTCTTCTGCACCATCAGCAGACATGCTCACTGAATTCGTCGAACCATCTAATTCAGCGCCCAAGCTGCCGAAGGTCAGTCGACATCTGTCTGTCTCGGAGACACGGATATGTGCTGCTATAATCACATTTTGATTCTCAGAGAGGTTCAATCGTGACATACTATCTTGCATCTGAGCAGCTTCCTTTTTCAAGTCTTCTGGATTGACCGCAGGGGGAGAAATTGTTTTTGCAGGAGTTCCAATAACGCCAGGACCATTGGCAATTGGTTTCACGCTTGATTTTGGCTTCCATTCCTTATTAGGCTGAGGAGCTACAGCAAGAAAACTTCAGTAAGTTTTCTGCTAACTTAAAGGAGTCTGAAACTAAAACTAATGCTCAATTATTCACATCTAATGCAGCGTATATGTTTCAATAAAAGAACTAAAAACAGCTCTATTCAAAATGTAGATACCCATGTAGCCAAGTTACCACCCTGGTCTTTTCATAAAGTTAAAACAACTGATGCAAAACACCAAACTAATGAAATTTAATCCATTTTAAATAGAAAAACACTTGACGAGACAAACAGTGAACAAAAGACTCTACAAAGTGCTTCAGGAAGACAATCTAGTTTGGACAGATGTGTATCATACCTTTCTGATGGCCCATGAGTTGATGTTGTCTGCTACCATATTGATTACTTGAAAAACTTCTGTTTGCTGGCAAACCAGGCATAGCAGACTCCGGTGCCACATCTTGAACTGATTGGTCGGTCTTAGGTAGAGCACTTAATGGTCTTGCTGAATCCCGTGAGTGACTTTCTCGACCTGATTGTGTATTGGGCAAAGAGATGTTCTGAGATGAGGGCTTAGCAGAATTATCCGATGACTGACGACGAGGTCCCACAACTCCAACTTCCCTCCTGATGGCCCCAACACTAGCAGCAGGTCTAGCAGCAGGTACATGAACAGGATCAGAAGACGATGAATATACACCCACGACAGAACTGGTAGAAGAATTTGTAGAATGTGGTTGGGGGCCATTTGCCTTTTTATGCGATCGTGAATTAACATTTGTACTTGCAAGCCGCTTCTCCGAAGGCATTTCTTTCTTGTCATTACCGCTTTGTTTAGCAATCTTAATTTGTGGAGCTTGTAAATCAGCAGGTCTATTTAAAGCTTGAGTTGAACGCTGACCAGCTGGAGGCTCTTGATGTTCAGAAATTCCAGTCAAAGTGCTATAAAAGATAAATTTAAAATAATCTTCATGTCAAACACAGATCTATAGAACTTCTGCTTTCACATATGGAAAGGTAAAAAAAAATGCTTTATTTTATTTCAATTTTTTTTATCTGTGTGCATTGGTCGACTGAATAATAACTCCCAATTATTTAGCTAAACTTCTTCTGGTTGAATATGCCAAGGACATCATACCAGCTAACTTAATATAACCGACCTAGTCATTGAGACATATATTGCATTACTATATTAAACTAGCATTTAAATAAGCTGCACACAAGAAGGCAAAAAAACATGCATCAAGTATGCTATTAGTTATATCATATATACCTCTTCATAGAGACAGTGTCCTCACTCGTAGAATTAGAACTTTGAACAGGTTTTAAATCTGTACCGGCATTCTGATTAACTCTGTTGTCTCGAACAACACGGAACTCTCGGTTGGCTCCTGCATCTAGTTAAACTACAACCATCAAGAAAGTGATAGCAGATAACAATAATTATAAATACAAGAGAGTATGAGATGAAAAATTACTGGACTCCACAAATTACTTTAAAACAGACAGTTCTGAAACAGAATTAATAAACTGATTTTATAGTTTAACGCATCTCTATGCAGAGATACTTCTAGTGGCACTAATGTGTTTTTTATCTAGGGATGATTAAGTCAGGTTCTCATTTGCAACCCATGAGGAATTCCCAACTTCAAATGTATTCAAACAACAAGCCGTGAGGTATAATGTATTACCAGGTGCAGCATTTCGAGTAGAAACACCTCTTCGAGTATTGCGGTCAGAATAAGCACTAAACTTTACTGGCATATGAGCAGGGTCGGCACTTTTCTTGGGATCTGCAGCAATGTAGCTCTTGTACCCTGAAATCTGAGGAAAAATAGGGCAGGCTCATACATATTTTATGGTTATATAACATATAAATTAAAAGCACTGGAACTTCAAACCCAACTACCCAAACTTCACTCATCTTAGTATCCTACAACTTCAGGCCTTGTTTGATTGGTGAGATTAGCCATGATTAATCAAATAATTGGACTTTGTTTGATGTTTGGTAAACCCAATAACTTCACAGGTCGACTGTGAAATATTATGTTATCATGCTTTGTCATTCCTTTCAGGGAGCTTTTTTGTTGGCCTTGCGGGGTCCAGTAAAAAATAGGGTTTTTATTAGATTATATAATATTATCTTGGTTAATCCTATCTTGGCAACCAAACGAGGCCTCAATGTATTAGTTATAGGCAAAACAAATACACAAAAGATGAGCATTGCATCTCAATAAAACTATTTAATGAGCAACAAAATTTGACCAAGAAGACGTGGCGATGATTATGAATTATAAAAAAAAAAACAGAAACGGAAAACGATCACATAATGTTTCTGAAGAGCATAATTGAATTTGGAAGGTAACGAAAAAAGAAGAAATGACCAAAATATACCTCTCTTTTCCTGTCTCTTTTTCTTTTCACCTCGTGAAATGGATCTGAATGAAAAACAAATAGGCACTTATAAAGCTATGCAAAGTGAAGTGTAGAAGTAAATGGATAAAAAGAATGAAAAAATCAGAACCTGTGATTTACATAATAGAAAATCAACTGAGGATCTATAAAGCAGAACATTTAAGCGCATAACTTAAAAGTGAAGCTTCTGGAGAAACGCATAAAATTGGGTCTAAAAACAAAAGAGTAAAGAGGTCTAGTAAAAATATTTCTCACACAAATAAGAAGGTTAAGAATTTACGATTCATGCTGCAAACCATCAGCAAATGAAGCTAATTGTATTAATAAGCCTAGCACATTGCCACTTCCTGTTAAAAAATTTCACTTCTGATGAATTTGTCTCTGTACTCTGGTAATTATCATTCCCCATACACTCTAAATACTCTTCTACAACCACAGTTCCAACACCACATGCAAGAATTCAGTCCAGAAAGAAACAACTCCAGAACTAACCTAACTGCCCACCAAATAATCACTCTCCATATTCTATTTATATTGGCAAAGGGCTAAACACACATAATCACTACATAGGTAAATAAAAAACACAAAATAACAAATACAGCAAATCAAAAAACGAAAGAGAAAAACTGAATGAAAAAAAATCTAGAAATTGGACCTTGATTGAGCATCTTTTGAGCGGTTTCATTAGGGTCCATGTTCGTATCCTGAAGCACCGCGTAAATATCAGCATCCGAGTGATTCCCCACGATCTCTTTAATCGATTGTATAGTTCTTCGCACGCCCGCCGATATAACCAGCGGCCCGCCCTCGGTTCTCGAACCGGACGAAACCATCTCCAATCACCAACCGGAAAAGAAAAAAAACAGAGAGAAACAGCGGTAAAACACGAAAGCAACAACCCTCCTCCCCTTGCACACGTAACGAACGGAATGTATCCGACGAGAATCCTGGACCGACGAAATTAGGGTTTGGAATCAAACGGTGTTTTGCATTGGAGGAAGAAGAGAACGGCTGAGAGAGAGAGAGAGAGGGAAGAAAGGGAGAGAGGGGTTAGAGAGAGCGAGGGTTTTGAAACTGAAATTAGGTTTTCGATAATGGCGAAAAAATTGGGAAAAAAATTTAATACAAATTGAAAAAAAGAATTTGCAGACGGATGAAAAATCCAGAATTTTTATTAGTGCCAGTAGATGCTGACTAAGCCCTTGTGAATTGACTTAAATGCCCTGCGTTATTCCCGTCAGTCGTTACGATTCAACAGTTATTGACGAAAATAACCTTGCAAGTCGATTCATGATTATTTGGTGATTACTAGTTATTTCATTATTAATCATCTCATTAGTGGGAAGCACGTGCCGAATTAATAGATCATAGTTTGCAATCATTTGAGCTAAAAATCCCTATTGTTGCTATACCTTAAAATAGCAACTACATATAATAGGATATCATAATTGAATTTGACACTTATTTGTGAAATGTCTTTTATTCTACCTAGTATATATGAAAACTAAAAACACTATATGAACTCAATCTATTTACCAACAGCGGTTAAATTGAGTTTGTCACACATAGTTAGTCTAGTGTTGTTTACGTTTCTAGTTATATATACATATTAATATATATCATATTTTGCAGCCATTTAAAAAAAAAATTCCACACAAAATCTCGACTAGCACAATCATAATTCACTACTTCTATCGTTTCAATTGTTATTATTATTTGTATCTCCTATTTTTCAGCATATTTTATTTAACTCTTCTTTGTTTCGTTTATTTAATAATCAATTTATATATTATGACAATTAAGTTTATATATTTTTTTTCAAAATGAGTTTTTATTATTAAATTTGTACAGATATTTATGTTGATATCGATATCATTAATAAATTTTATTATAATGGTTATACTCATGTATTAAGCTAACAATTGTTTTTTTATTTTTGAAATGTTATCCCGTGCATGGCCGGGAAAATACTAATTGGTAAATTGAAAGAATATGGAAAGTTGATAGATCTAAATTTGAATATTATTTTTGGCAAGCTTTATAGGCCAAACTTACATGTCTTGTGTTTTCATCTGTTTTGGAAAAGAACTAACGAATAATTTCAAATATATATATATTTTTTAAGAATAAGAAGAAACAAATTTGGGCCCAAATATAGCCTGCGGGCCAAATTAGGTCTTCACAGGCCCATGTGTTCCAACTATTGATTCAAATTTTATATGGTAATTAAAAAGAAAAAAAAAAAAGGGCAATTTTTTTATATTTTTTTCACATGCGAGGAAGCAAAATTAGTGTTTGATGGTCTATGAGATGCTACACATGAAAAGTATCGGGCGATTTTACATCATAAACTTATACAAGTAACCACCCGGTAAACATACATACGCATAGGTGTATGTTATTATGTGTAGATCAATGGTGCAGAATCACCTGGTGTCTTTCACCGGGAGTAGCATCTACAAACCTATTATGATTATCCCACTCAAACTCAACCAAACAGTTAAAACGCAATTACAAAATGGATTAAATCTTAACCGAAACCTTCTACGTACAAGAATGGAGAGAAAACGCAGCACAAATCGAAACCTATTTTAAATCAAGTAATTCAAGACAATAGCTCATTATATTTTGTTATTATTAAATCTCTTTAGCCCTACTTAGTTTTAGCAACTCACAAGTATTGCTGTTGAATCCTTACTTTGTTCTCTTCCCACCACAACCTCGCATGTGTTTCTCCAAATCGTTCTCGGCTGCATTCGCAACATCGAAGTTAGATAGAATCAACCGTATACGCAAATTTAAATAGAATTAAAAAAAACTGCATATTAATAGAAGGAACCACCGACCTGAATCGGACTCTTCTAAGCTCACGGGAGCCACCTGGCAGAGCTCTGATAGTAATGTAGACTCCAGGTTCGTCTTGTTCGACCCACTCACTCTCTAAATCGGAAGCATTGCTCACTGAAAGTTCCCCAGAGTGGTCGATTTCTCTCGAAGAACTCGATCGTGCAGAAGCATCGATGGACGATGTCTCTGTTTTGGCTGCGCTTATGCTAGAGAGCTTTGGAGTTGAATTGAGAGCTGATGCTGACTCATCGTCGTGGTAATTACGAGATTGACCTGTTTGGTGCTCTGTTCCTATTGGTCGTTGGAAGTGACGTGGCGGATGCTCTTTTGTCAGTGGAGGTGTCACGGGGCTGTCCTCGGGTGATTCTATCTTCGAGTTCTGATAGTTGACATATTTAAACTGATTAAAATATAAATAAAAATGAGTGATTCAATTCAATATTACTAAAAAATTGAAAATGTTCGAATTCCGCCGATTTTGGCCCGAAATTTTCCGATTTTCGGAACACGTTTTTTCATTCCAGTCTCCGATTTTTCATTTTTTTAAATCTGATTTTTTTTCAAAAGTGTTAATTCCAATTCAATCTCTCCGGTTTGCACCCTAATAGCACCAGTATCTGCCAGCAGACTGAAAAAGTAAATTGAATGAAAACATACATTTATTTATTTCTTATTAGACCCGAAACTATGAAAAGAATACCTCATCTTCGGATCGAGGTGGAGTAGGCAATGGTACTTCGTGACGATTAAATCTCTGGACATTGTATAATTCCATTACTTTGTCGTAGTTCTCTGACCACCACCTTTGAGCTTGCCACTTGTTAAAAATCTCTCGACTGTAAAAACCCAAAAAACCATCGTGCGAAATCAAATATTATAACACAATACAATTATTGTAGACAACAATAACCCACCAACTCCATATGCATGAATTAGTAAAAGCAAAGATACGAAACTTCAACGATGAAAATTGAGGCACTGAGAGAATCAGAAGGGGATAATATGGTCTGTACTTAACAGCAATAAATTACTACTCGGGCCCAATTATAAGTCGTTATCTTCAGATATTTATATCACTGAACTCCATGTCCCCGCTAATGTCAGGTATTAATGGCCATTGTTTTCCCTACAATGTTCATATAAAAACACTCCATCGTACCACTGTAGTTTTCTCTTTTCTAAATGTGGCACAAAATGATACGGTGGGGATGGATTCAGGTTTCAAAGAAAACTACCTAACACTGGAATTATCTTTCGAGAATTGTGTGATGTTTAACTCAAGTTCCGCCTTCAACTTGGCAATTTCACGACGTATGAGCCAATATAATCAAGAAAATGATCGGGTAACCAAGTGTAATCTTCGTATAAGTTGAATATAGATTAAACAACTACGGTAAACTCGGTGAACGAAAAGTAAAAAAGATAATAAAAGAAGAGCATCATACTTTGGTTATCCATAGCTTTTCTTTAAAGCCTTTAATAATAGTTAAAAAAAAATTAATAATAGTTATTAGCTGTTCTGAACATTTTATTTAATAAGGCAGTAATCAAGAAGCCAATTGTGTAAAGGCCCACAATTTTATTTAATTAGAGGGGCCACTTCCAGAATTTGGGGGGCTGGTGTAACACAATGTGACTTCACATGCTCTCATTAAATTACACCACTGTATAATTAATTAAGAAAAACTTAGCACCCTTTCAAGAAATCACGAGACAACGACCCATCATAATCGACATCTTGAAACCACATTGAACATTCACACCATTAACAAATCACAAACTCTCAGATTTCAGATCCAACATAAACAGCTTCAAATTGCACCATGAAAAACAAAATATATTAAACTCGTTTTCAATGAAGTTCAACACGGTTAAATTCGATGTATAAGTACTCAAGATAATAACGATTCTTCTACATATAAGCTAACTTCGATTTAGGCCTAAAACCGAAACGAAACAAAAAGAAATATATTGAAAATACCTGAATCGAATCCTTTTGAGATCATTGCCACCTTGAGGCAACGAAAGGAAGGTAATTAGCACACCAGGCTCAACCTGTGCAACCCACTCTTTCGGTTCATCCTCCTCCATGAACAATACTGAGTGATCGGTTCTACCGCTGACTGAAGCCGGTGTAGCAGAGCCGCTTGAAAGGGCTTTCAGCTTGGCTTCTTCTATAAACTTCCGGCGAAGCCTCGGAGTGGAGTTTGAGCTGCCGGTTCTTCTGTACGAGCCGTAAAATCTCTCCGAAACCGAGCCTGCATCGGAGGAGTCGACGTAGGCTCGACCTCTGTCATGGCCGGATGAGCCTGAACAAGGCCTGCAGCTCTTGTACGCGCCTGATGCCTTCACTGCTATGTCCTTGATCTATAAAAAAATAATTAACAAATTATAAATTGAAATAGGTTACAATCAAAAGCGAATTAGGCAATATGAAATTGAGAAGGAGAGTGATGTGATTTTTGTATTTTTAACCTGAGCGGTGAGGGTTTTGATGGCTTGCTTGGTGGAAGGAGTGGCGGAGCTTTCGTCGTCTTCGGGCGGCGCGTCGCGGAGAGATCCATTGGTGTGTGGCTGCTGCTGCTTTGAGCAGGCGATACAGGTTAACATACTGCTCTAGAACGAAATAAAATGCCTAAAAATTTGAGAAAGTGGAAATACAGGAAGGGAAAAAAAATTAATTTAAGGTTGGAAAAACAATGTTTGTGTGAGAGAAAATGGCCCTTCGAATCGAGAGTTGGGAGGTGATCGAGGTGGCGTTAATGGCGGAAACATAGCGTACAGAACATAGGTTCCGGAGATTTAAAACTTTAGAGAGAGAAAGAGAGAGAGAGAGAGAGAGGTGCAGTGCAGTACAGTGCAGCATAGATCAAGGGAAAAAAAATAAGGATTTGATTATTCTATTTCCGTCTTCACAAGTCACAGCTCAGAAGTCGAAGAGGAGTGAGAAAAAAGCACAGACTCTCTCTCTCTTCTTTTCTCTCTCCTCTCTCTTCTCTCTCTCTACTATTTCTCACCGGATCAGAGAAACTGTTGAGATTTGTGGGGTTCTCGATGGGGGAAGAGGTGGCAGCAGAGGGAGAGGAGAGGAGGAGCAACTTGTTTGTGTATTTATTTATTGTATTTATTTTCTTCTAATAATTCAGTAGCTATAATAAATTAATAATCCATTTAGAATTATTGTATAACATATATTTCAATTCAATTTTGGATTTAATAATGATTAACGGTCTTTTTTTTTCTCGCACGTGGAATATTTGACATAACATCCTGAAAACAAGGATCGGATTTAATTTGCTGGTTTGGTTTTTAAAATTAATTATCCAAAAATCCATACTGTAGGAATTAATGGCCTTGTGAATTATTTGATTTTTGATCTCTTCAATCATTTATATTAGAATTATTTTGTCACATTCTGCTACAAATTGTGGAGTAGTACCATAAATAAATACTAAAATCAATTATGTATCAAACTGTAAAATAATAAATAAAAAAAAAATTATATTTATATGTATGTGTGTTTGTACATATTCAATAAATAGATAAGGAAATAGCACTGAAGGCCTACATTTCAGGAATAAATTTGTCTATAAAAGGGAAGAAAAAAAACCATTGTGATGTGCCATAAATAAAGTATAAATTCACCAAAGTCTATGAAAAATATACGTTCAAAAAATAAGGTAAAAAATTTCATCATATGAAAATTTGTATAAATCGCATTAATTACACTTTTATAAAAACATAAATAACAAAAAATGAATAAAATCTGAATATGACAGTCTGAAGTTTTACCTGCTACCATTTATAAAGCTTTAATTGAATTAATTGCAGAATAGTAAAGCTTATAGCGTTAATGTCATTGGAATAAATACTGAAATGTTAAATGTCGTTTCAATTTTACTAATGTCGTTTTGACTTCGAACCTGATTATGACATATTTCTATTTTGATTTAGGCAAAATTCGAAACACGAAAATTATAGTCCTTTGGGTTAGCTTTCTAATCCAACTTAAATCCACTTGATTGGATGTCGTGTGACAAAGTTATGCACAAATGAGTCACATTTTGAATTTTAGATATCTCAATACATCAAGGTTGTGGGCAGTATCCATTGATTCATTTATATCTTTCTCGTCCGACATCCAATTTTGGTGATTCAAGTTGAATTAGAAAACTAACTCAGAATACTACAAATTCTATTTTTCGTGTTTTGCAAAATTTGGAATAAAAATGACCAAAATCACACTTGAAGTTGACATGGTATTATTAAAACTCGAACGACATTTATCACATCCCGAATAAATATCAATAATATATATATATATATATATTAAAAAAAAAAGTATTTACAAGGTATAAAACTCGTGAAGGGCCCAAGTCAAAGAGATCCAAGGGTCATAAATCCATAAAGGCCCAGGCCCAACGAGACGATATAAGAGCCGTTGAGTTTTCACGTGACGAGATTATGATTTTCTCACGTGCACCATTATTTAAAAGAAAAAAATCCCCAAAAAATAGCTCATTATTAGTTGATTTAATTAATTGATTTATTGATCAAATCACATGGCCAAACCCTGTAATTGGCTTAATGATCTTATTTTATGATTATTTCTTTATTATTCCCCCGTTTCCTTTTTAACATAATTAGTAATTAAGCTCTCAAATGATATCTTAATCGTGCCACCAACCACTCTTACGCCTCGTTTGGTTGGGGAGTTACCCATTATTAACTAAATAATTAAACTTTATTTGGTGTTTTGTGTACCCACTAACCTGACGGGTCGACCCACAAATATTATGCTATCATATCAAATTAATGGATAATCGGGGAAAAAGGGCAAATTTGTAAAACATTAGCCAAAACAAGTAAATCTAGCTCCTCAACTTCATGCACATTCTTAGTATGGTAAAATATAAAACACCCATACTTGTCAATAATTCACAGTACAATCTTCTTCAAACTGCTTCAGTTCTCCTCTGCTTCGATAGTAAAAACGTTGAGATATGAGATGGAGCAAAAAGCTATTGAACTTTATTTTAAAAGATAAAAACCTTCCCGGTTTTGCTCTATCGTTTTTTCTTTCTGCAAGTTCACAGGGTTGGTACATAAACTCCAAATATTAAATTACCTTCACTTATAAGTCGAAGGCCGATAGTCGATTTTCACATAAACAGATCAACATTAAGGCCAAATGCCAATTATTTGGTTTCGTTTATTTTCTATAGACACGCCTCATTGTGTATACAAAGGAACCTAATTGCGCAAAAAGGAACCTTAATCACGCAAAAAACCTGCTATAAAGCAAGAATACGATGATTAATCCAAAAAAAACCTAACAATGGATCCACCTTCACTATTCAATCTATAAGGGCTAATCTGGAAAAGCAAACGAGGCATACCTATATTTATACAGATTTCTTTGCCTTTTCAATCACGTAATCAATGGGAAGCACACATGGTGAACAAAACATACGAGACAAAGTTTCATGGCAAACGTCTAACTGCACACGAAATGGACTTCGTAATTTATATATCAAAATAAATTTATTTTGTGAATGATGCACTTGTAAAAGACAATTGGAGAAACTTCCGTAAGGAACAAAAGTCGACCAAAATGCATCGATTGAACGCCCAACTCCAATCTACCGTAACATATTCAATTCTAGAGTATGGAACGTACGATTATACGACAACTAGAACATTCATTATACGAAAGAACTAAACAATGCATCAGCTGAAACTTCAATCGCTGTACAATACATCAAACATTTTTCAGCCATGTCTAAAGCAGTTACAGCAGATTGATCAATCAATAACCTCAAGAGTTAATTTGCAGCAGAAGTTCCTAAAACATTTCAGATCTACAGCATCAGAAGTTCCTAAAAGAGATTAAATTAAATACTTACCTTAAAAAATCTGGCCCATGTTCATTCACCTCGTAGACTTTCTAGTTTCTCCAGCTCCAACTCCACGCCGCCGCCGCCGCCGCCGCCGAGTGCCAGCCGAGATGCAATTGGCTGAATCGACGATAGATTTGCATCAACGCGTCAAACGGAACCTGAGGACTGTCTTCGCAAAACCGGCATCGTTTGATAATCTCGCATACCATGCGCACAAGGCCACCTCGCTTTTGATTGAACTCCGAATCGACTCCATTGACAAATTTGCTGCTTAATGCTAAGGATTCTGGGTAGAGAGAGCTAGGGTTTTTTGATTATTGGAGGGAGATTTCTGATACTGAAGAGGTGGGGGAGTGTAGTGGTTTGCAGCTGATTTTCTACTCGCCGGAGACGCGCATCACGCGCGTTATCACACGTCCTCCTCCTTTTCTTTTTCCTTTTTTCTTTAATTCTTTTTTTTTTTAATTATTATTAACATTAGCCCAAACAAGTTGGTCATACTAAAGCCCAACAAAATAACCATTTTCTTTGAAACCAAGGCCCACCTCCAAAAGGTAATTCTAGTAAGATCTATATTCATTCTTATTACGTATAATTTGGGTAAGATTAAATTATGAAAAAATTCATCATATTTCGATAATAAAAATTATTCATCAATTATGTATTATCTAAATATCTTACATGTCCATCTTTACATTGTTAAACTTACGTACTGAACGAGGAGTTTTTCCGTAAGAAAATAACATAGGTTATGGGATGGTTGTAATTACTTGATCCAAGTTCGAATCCATTTATCAACAATCGCTATATTGTAGTTAGCCTAGTACTGTTGTTTACGTCTCCCGTATGACTTGCTAACTATTATACAAGAGTGTATGTGTTACCGAGCACACATTTATGATTGGCTGTGCATTTTTTCATTAAAAAATATATTTTAGACATATATGAAATAATATAATCCATTGAAGTTTACTGAATTGTAACATAGAATAAACCTCATTATTAACATGTTAAATTTGAATATTCAACTCCAATCCAATATATTTTGTGTTGGCAACATGTAACATAAATATATGCCTTTTTATTTCCAAATTTTATTTTCTTAGTTATAATTAGAAACATAAATATCTTAGCTAACATATTTTACCAATTAAATATCATTTTGTTGACTTTCAAACTATAGAAAAATCAAATGAACGGGGAGAAACCGGTTGGGGGACCCGAACCCGGGTCAAGACTTCCAGATCACGACCCGGTTGAATATAATAATGAAATAATACACGTACAACAACAGCTCAAACGTGCCGGAGAGCATGGGACCGTCAAAATAAGCCACGTCACCACATGTAGAAACACGCCACTCTGCTGCTCGGCTCCTCACACCCAACCCCTCGACAGTCGCCACCACTCCCTCCGCCGCAGCGCCGCCACCTCCACCACCGTCGCGGCAGCTCAAAGTGCGAAGCGGCGACGTAGATCTTAGGAGAAGCAGACGCACAAGCTGCAACCAGCCACTTCGTTCCTTCTCCTCGATTTCAAATTCAATTGAAGGATTCATTCCGGTAATTTTGATTTTTTTTTTTCATTTTCGGGCAATTCGATGTCTCTATTGAGAAGAAGGAAGGTCCACGAGAAGGAAACAGCGCGCGTAGCAGCGGACGACTACGACGAGAAAAAACCCGAGACCTGGAAACCCGAAAAACCGGAAAAACAGAGCAAATGGTCATGTGTGGATAGTTGCTGCTGGTTCATTGGGTGCATATGTGTTGTGTGGTGGGGTTTATTGTTTTCGTACAATATGATGCCTTCTTCTTTCCCTCAATACGTCACAGAGGCTATAACCGGGCCGATGCCCGACCCGCCCGGGGTGAAATTGAAGAAGGAGGGTTTACAGGCGAAGCACCCCGTCGTATTTGTGCCCGGAATTGTGACCGGTGGGCTGGAGCTTTGGGAAGGGCATAGTTGTGCTGATGGCTTATTCAGAAAAAGGCTGTGGGGAGGCACTTTTGGAGAAGTCTACAAGAGGTATAAAAAAGAATTTATGTTTTTTTTTATTTGGGGAATTAATTTCACATTCGGAATGAATTGATTTGGAAATTAAATATATAGATTGCCTTGTACATGTTAAGGGTTTTGTCATGATTAATTGAAAAAGGGAAAAGGTCAAAAAAGCTTTTCATATTTCATGCTGCTCTTAATATGGTAATAGATTCACTGTATCTGGATTTAGAGAAGTTAGATTCAGTGTGAAGAATTTGTAGAACTGTTGAGTTTGAAAGGAATGATTGTATGGAAAAATGTGTTTTTATGGTGGTTTTAGTCTTCATTTATTGTCTGGAAAAGAGGCAATTGTTTTGTTGAACCAACGGCACTTGAATTTTCTCATGTCTTGTAGTTGATCAACGGGTAGTTTTTTTGGAGATACGTTAGCCAGTTTGTGCATTCTTGAGCGTTAGTGCAATGAATGATTGCTATTGTTCATACCGATACTAATTTGGTAATTTAAGTGGTAGCGACGACCTCAGATTCGAGTGGATGAAAAGATTAATCAGTAAAGAACCAGATAGATTAGTCTGGAAATTAGAGGGATAATTTATTAAAGTTGAAAGATAACTTTGTTCACACCCGTGTTAGTTAAGTGATGGAACTGCACATGTTTCCTCTTTTCGAAATTCATTCACTTATCTTAGTTTTACCTCTTTACATATATGTTTTTTCCGTCACATACTTCAACTCAAGAAACTCAGTTGTTCACTTTTCCCGGAAACATTTTACGTGAATGTATGTTTCGTCGATCCTAATACCGTTTCTGTGAGAGGATGTTCTCTTTGTTCTGTACTCTAAATTCTTCATTATCTAAAGAAACATTAGAGCAGGTAATTCTTGCGTCTTATTTACGAGGTTTTCTTTAAATATTTTTTTCCTCGTAGACCTTTATGTTGGGTGGAGCATATGTCGTTGGACAACGAAAGTGGGTTAGATCCACCCGGTGTAAGAGTCAGGTCAGTCACCGGTCTTGTCGCTGCAGATTATTTTGCTCCAGGTTACTTTGTCTGGGCAGTTCTAATCGCTAATCTTGCTCGAATCGGATATGAAGAGAAAACAATGTACATGGCCTCATACGATTGGAGGCTCGCATTTCAAAACACAGAGGTAATTAATAAATGGTTTAACATATAAAAAAAGTTGTCTGCTAATTCGTTGTCTGATATTTTTTTTTTTTTTTTTCAGGTGCGTGATCAGACATTAAGCAGAATAAAAAGTAATATCGAACTAATGGTTGCTACAAACGGTGGCAACAAGGCTGTAATAATCCCACATTCGATGGGTGTTTTGTACTTTTTGCATTTTATGAAATGGGTGGAGGCGCCCCCTCCGATGGGGGGTGGGGGTGGGCCTGATTGGTGCGCGAAGCATATAAAGGCTGTTATGAACATCGGTGGGCCCCTTTTAGGTGTTCCGAAAGCCGTTTCTGGTCTTTTCTCTGCCGAAGCTAGAGATATAGCTGTTGCCAGGTACATTTAAAAAACAGTGTCCCCCTTTTTTTTTTGGGTGTGACGTAATTAAATAATTAACCGATTTTCGGGTTATTGTAGGGCAATTGCACCGGGTGTATTGGATAAGGATTTATTTCGGATACAAACATTACAGCACATAATGAGGATGACTAGGACATGGGATTCGACTATGTCTATGATACCAAAAGGTGGAGAGACAATTTGGGGTGGTCTCGACTGGTCGCCCGAGCAAGGATATTCGCCTAACAAAAGAAAGCAAATTAACAACGATACCGATAGTAAATCAGTCATTACCGAAGATGGAAACATAGGATCGAAACAAAAACATGTCCATTATGGGAGAATGATATCGTTCGGAAAAGACGTGGCCAAGGCAGATTCTTCCGAGATTCTGAGGATTGATTTTAGGGTAACTTTTTTTCTTCTTTTTTTAATTTTAAAAAGTTATATCATTTGGTTTTGCTATTGATATTGTCTGAATGGCTGTTATATTATATATGTAGGATGCTGTGAAGGGTAATAATGTCGCAAACAATACGTGTAGAGATGTGTGGACGGAGTATCATGACATGGGGATTAGTGGAATCAAAGCGGTAGCTGAATACAAAGCTTATACCGCGGGAGATATACTGGATATGCTTCAATACGTTGCACCTAAAATGATGGAGCGTGGTAGTGCTCATTTCTCGTACGGGATTGCCGATAATTTGGACGACCCCAAGTACGAACACTACAAGTATTGGTCGAATCCATTGGAAACAAGGTTAAAATGATTCTCTCCCCCTCTCTCTATACATGTATTCAATTTTACGGGTTTCATTTCGACTTTAACTCTGATTTTTGAACCCTTTTTCAAACAATCAAGCTTGTAGAAAGTGTCCATTCATTCATGCAGAACCCCGGACCTCGATATTCAGTCTAGCCGATTCAAGTTGGATTTGAATGCTAACTCAAAGAACTACAATCTTGATAGCTTTGAATTTTGTCTAATTCCGTAATTCGGACTAAAAAATGGTCATAACCTCATTAAAAATCGGACGCCACCAATAAATTTAAAACAACATTTGATACTTCCCTATATATTGTTTTCTAATCTTTTTTTTTTTTTATGCAGGTTGCCAAATGCTCCCGACATGGAGGTCTTCTCAATGTACGGAATCGGAATCCCGACGGAGCGGGCCTACGTGTACAAGCAGGTCCCCGCGGCAGATTGCTACATCCCGTTCCAAATCGACACGTCAGCAGCCGAAGAGCTCGACAATGGGTGCCTCAAGGGCGGCGTCTTCACAGTCGACGGTGACGAAACGGTCCCCGTTTTGAGCGCAGGCTTCATGAGCGCGAAAGGTTGGCGTGGCAAAACCCGGTTCAATCCTTCTGGAAGCAAGACCTACGTGAGGGAGTACGACCACGCACCCCCCGCAACCCTTCTAGAAGGACGCGGGACCCAGAGCGGGGCCCACGTCGACATCATGGGGAACTTCGCGTTGATCGAGGATGTCATGAGGGTTGCGGCGGGTGCTAAGGGGGAGGAGTTGGGCGGGGACCGCGTTTATTCGGATATATTTAAGTGGTCCGAGAAGATCGATTTGCCTCTATAATTATTTATACGTAAAATAGTAACCAAAAAAAGATAAAAACAATGTTATGGTACAAAATGGAAGTGATCTCAATACACACATCATGTATACTAAATAGTTAGTTAGCATCTCCTCTATTTCCCTTTTCTTTGATTTGTAACAGCTCTGATTTTGAAATGCTTGGCATTGTACTAATATTATTGAATTAGTATTTTTCGATGAGTCCTTTTTTTTATTGCATTACCCAAAACTATTTAAAAATTTAAAATTTGATGAATTATTTTTCAGATCACCATTTCATTTACCTTTTGCTACCATGTTTATAAATAAGGGTATTATCGTCATATATTTTACCCGTTTCCTTTTGTAGGAACGACGGCTATTTTTAAAAGTGTAATACGGCAAAGTATAGTAGTAAGTCAATTATTTTTCCCAATATGTAGACATGTGTATTAAATTTTAACTTTGAAGTAGATATATACATTATGATTGCAATTAGTGGAATTTTTAAATTTTGAATAAAGATATTAATAAAACAATAAATTAAGAAAAACATCTATACATCATCTTATAACAAATTTTGAATAAATATATTAATAAAACAATAAATTAAGAAAAACATCTACACATCATCTTATGACAAATTTTATTTCCGATGACCGAAAACTAGAAGTGAATCTCTCGGCATGCTTTTTGGCGTCAAATTGATTCAAATCCCCGTACTCAATAGGCTCTTCACGACGAGTCGTCCCCCCCTCGTTCACCATCGGCACTTTACCATCTACTCTCAGTTTGTACATTACGAAAAAAGATGAGCACTCGGGATCACAATAGTAACTACAGTCGGTGTCGATAATCACAGTCTCAAGTGACATGGCAGCACTCTTACACACATGCACAAGAAACTCATCTTCCCTTGCACACCCACAATACCCTCCCATTTCGATTACCTTGAGATTTTTATGATCAAACATATTTGCCTCTGCTGAAGTTACTTCAGGAAATGGCAATAAATTCTGTCACAGCCAAGAATAGAGTTATCAATTTGATTTAAAACAAATAAACAAATATAAAAAAAAATAGAATTTAGATTGATTAGTACCCATCCAATGGTAGACGATGAGCAGCGCAATAAGTAGATTATCTGTCACGATGTGAAAGATACATCAATCAGTAAGAGTAGGATTGTTAAAAAAAAAAAGAAAAAAAGTAATTCGGGCGAAAGGGAACATATCACACTGACTTCACTTGTTGATTTTCAATTCTCATCAAATAGTTAAAACTGAAACGTAAGTTTGACTAACAAGAAGTGTAACGCAATTTTTACAACGTTGACCTTGATTTTCAACTCTTGCAATTGAGGAGAAGCCTCGATCAATGATGTCCAAAAGAGAAGACTTCGCCCAACATGTGACATGACGCTCAATTCCATCCTCTTGAGAGCGTATAACTGAGGTAATTCACGAGGAACAATTACACTCAAAGCGCTCTGCACGAAAAAAATAAAAAAAAATGTCAGTAATTGTTATGATTGCCGAGATTAGTTATCCATCATACAAGAGATATAATGAATGCAAACCTACCACATGTGGAATATTCAACACAAGCTTCACAAGTTGCGCTGAATAGCTCGAGTGTTTGTTAGGTTCATAAACGAAGGACCCACAAAAACCCCCACCAAGAGTTAGCTCGGAGAGACTTGGAACTTTCTTGAATGGCAAGCCGATTTTCCTTCCTTCATATGTACACGAGACAAGATTCACAACAGATATCACCAGGCTTTGGATGTTGCAACACTCTGATATTTCCAATACTTTCAAATACGGCAAAGGGTCGACAAATTCGAGATCTTTCGTAGCATTGGAGCCCCTTATGCATATTTTTTCAATGTATTGACAGGAGGCCAGAAAATACTGAACCATCTCATCCTTAATAGCAACATTAACCAATCTAAAGGATCTTAGAGAAATAAAGGCATTAAGGGATCTTAGGTAACGAGGCAAAGAGTCGCGCACGTTCAGGGTGTCGAATAGTGGTAAAACCTTGTCAATTGGAAATCTTGTTAACAACATAAAAAGGCAAGGAAATTCGTGGTTGCAAGAGGCACCGGACAAATCCAATTCAAATCTCTTTACTTCCTTGTGCAGAGCAAAATCTATCCATTTACCAATGGGATAAAAATAGGGCGATTTACATTTATTAAAAAAACGAAGAATCAAACTGTCAACACTTTTACCCTGATGCAACTTGAAGACACGATCCACCAATCTTATAAAATTGAATCTATTTCTATCTGTACATTCCCTATCATCAAATCTCAACCCATAAGCAAACGTCCACAAATATCTCCATCTACGAGAAAGAATGGTCGTCCTGATAGCATCCTTAATGCTCATACGAGACACGATAGCAATAAGTAAATCATCAGGCAACTTGTCAATTTCACTTTCCTATATCATCGTAATATCAAATCACACATAAATATTTAGTATGAATTAACCAACAAAAGCAAAACAAAGAACAAAAGAAATTCCCATTACGTACCACATGTTGCCTCTTTCCTCTTCCTCTAGGGTTTTGCGTATTTGGATCGGCCTTATGCTTCTTCATCACCATCCTATCACACATGTATGATAATTAATATACCAAAGATTATATTTTTACCATTGAAGGAAAAAAAGGCCAATTATTAATTGCAAAAAAATAAACAACAATAGAAAAGTCGGACTTGAAAAGCATCAATCTTGGAAGATTTCTAGGTTAACAAGATTCTGGGATAGCGCGAAGAAGAGAAGTGTAGTTGGGTTTAAATTCTATTTGAAATTAGGTCTGATTGATAAAAGTTGTTTTTGAATCCAAAAGAAATTTGGGGAAAAAAAGGGTAAATTACGGCCTCCCATTTAGTAACATTAAATTACGATTCGACTATGTCCATTCTTACGATGTTAAATTTTGTGGAATCTTCTTAATTTTGTGGAATGTTTTTCAATTTATACCCGCTTTACTCCATCAAATTTCATATTTTGAAACAAGATGATCAAATGTGTCTTAACTTGTAAATATCAGATTTTAGTGCATCAAAAACTACATTTTTACACAAAATCAGTACGAACTACAATTTCACGAAATCTAGAAAATTAAAATAAATTTGACCACTTGAGGATGTACATGTAAGAAAATTTATAGTTTATGGGAGTTGTTGAAATTATCAAAACATAAGGTTGTTTTTGTAATTTAACCTTACCTCATGGTGACATTAATTTACAAAAAAAAGGGATAAAGGAGAATTTCGTAATTTCGGAATGTCGGACTCATGAGCCAACTCTCAAATACAGTTAAACCCGTCCTTGTTCATTAGATTCAAATCCGCTTCCATAATTCCCATTTATTCTCTGCTCTTAAACCCAGCAATTATTTTTGTTCAGCTTTTTCTCCACCATTGTTTTGTTGGAGATCGAGAAGACGAAGAAATGTTGGAGAGAGGGTACAATCCTCGAACTGTTGAAGAAGTTTTCAGGGATTTTAAAGGCCGAAGAACTGGACTAATCAAAGCCCTCACCACAGGTCTGTGTTTTTTTTTTTGTTTTTTTTTTTTTTTTTTTTATTTATGGAATTGATTTTCTGCTTCACTTTTCATGGCGTGAGAGAAGCTTACTTCGTTGCGCTGATACTAATTTTGATTTTGCAGACGTTGAAGAATTTTACCAGCAGTGCGATCCTGGTATGGTCTTTCTCTTACTTGTTCGGAGCTAATGACTTTATTTATTTACTAATTACCATTATTTTAATTATTTTTTGTGGATTTTTAAGTCTGGTTAAACATGATTAAGTTTGAATTTTAATTTTTTTTTCTCTATTTATTTAGTGAAATTTTCAATAAATTACCCAAATGTGGTTCTGAGATCGTTGACTGCAATGTGTGTGAAAATCGAGAGTGTTGAGAGATAAATTTGAGGTGTTTATAGCATTTGAAAGTCTTGTGTCTCGTATTAAATTCCATCATGCATCCCTGTTTTACAGTACTACTCATTCTTGTTAACTAATCTCATGGTAGAGATTAATTGTTAGCTTGTTATGTTTATTAATTTAAGGTGGTATTATGATTGCATATTCGATTCTTTGTAATTCTCTTAAGCGTAATAATAAATTGAATTTATAACTATATGACCGCTCTAACATTGTTCTCGGTTTACGTTTTGTTTCATTGTGCCAAGTAGTTACTTCGTTTAGGACAGGTTTGTAATTCAATTTATGTCGAGTACTTACGGCTCATGTAAGTCTCTGGTTGTGTAAGAGACAAATTGTTAGAGGTTTTTGCTTCTGTGTCGTCGTGCCTTCTCCCTTTTGCATCTTGTATATATCTACACACGACTCTGTCGGATTCATTGCCTTTTTATACTGCTAACGAAGTCATATATTTGTCTAGTGTGAACCAATTAATAACTTAATAGTTAATACTTACCGGCAAGGGAAATTTCGCACAGCCTTGATTTCGGCAAACTAGTGAATTAAATTAACAAATAAGTGATGGAAAATACGAGAGTTCGATGAGAATAGTAAAAAGAAAAAAGAAAAAAAGAAAGATGCTGCTATAGTTCAATCAGAATTTTGGATTTCAATTCGTTGCTGTGAGATATTGCTTGTGAAACGATTGTGTTTATTACTCGGTGGTGATATATTTATGAGGATATCACAAGATCCATCTTTAACAGAATACACAAATCACAATACGTAACGATTCCTAAATGCTAAATAATTTGGACTATAGTATTTTTTCCATCTAGTCCAAGCGTGTTCTTAGTACAGATTATCTAATTTTCATGATTTAGCCTCTCGAGTTTTAAGATGTATTGCTCGTTTTCTTCCCCCACGAGATTTTAATGAAATGAGAACTGTCCATGCTTTCCGTTTCAGAGAAGGAGAATTTATGCTTGTACGGATTACCTAGTGAGAAATGGGAGGTCAATTTGCCTGCCGAAGAAGTACCTCCCGAACTCCCCGAGCCTGCGCTCGGAATCAACTTTGCTAGAGATGGAATGCAAGAAAAGGACTGGCTATCTTTAGTTTGTGTCCACAGTGATGCTTGGCTGCTTGCTGTAGCCTTCTACTTTGGCTCCAGATTTGGATTTGACAAAGCTGATAGGTGGGCCCTACGCTATTTCGTTAAACCAATTTTCTTGTTACAATCTTTTCTAATTTATGTTATTAGCTTGTTGTCTCTCTGAAAGCAGTAAAGTCGAGCATTTGCTTTGCTCGTTTTTACGTCATGTTATATGATGATGATGATCTCTTGTTGGGCAGGAAGCGGCTTTTCAACATGATGAATGATCTCCCGACTGTGTTTGAAGTTGTGACCGGTGCTGCTAAACCACAACAGAAAGAGAAATCTTCAGTCTCAAATCACAGCAGCAACAAGTCGAAATCAAACTCGAAATCGGTATGGAAAAGATTATCTCAAAGTGGCTATATATTTTACCGAAATATATTCTCTTACTCCGCTTCACTAATTTCCTTGGATTTTATTACCAACCTTGATTTCTTTTTTTTTTTTTTTGGCTTCAGCGAACATCCGAGACAATGGGGAAAATTTCAAGGCCAGAGCGAAAAGGCGAAGAAGAAGGCTTAGACGAGGATGAAGAAGAAGAAGATGAAGAAGACGAGCACGGGGAGACGTTATGTGGGGCCTGTGGGGACAACTATGCATCGGACGAATTCTGGATTTGCTGCGATTTATGTGAGAAGTGGTTTCATGGCAAATGCGTCAAGATTACCCCTGCGAAAGCCGAGCATATCAAGCACTACAAGTGCCCTTCTTGCACTAGCAACAAGAAACTTCGCCCTAGTATAGAAAATTAATCATGCTCAATTAGTTCTTTTCTTCGAATATTAAGGCTAACCTGTGTGAACGTGTTACTTTTGAACTGGTGGAGGGATTTCGATTCTTGGTAGTTGGTATAGAGTATTGTTTGTTTGTAGTGTAAGTAGGATAGTTGAAACTATCATGTTTATCTTGGAACAGGAATTAAAATGTTTTTCATGATCTGGTCACAAATTCTTGCTTAAAGTGTGGTCCCAATGGTTTTCGAGTAGTTTCCCGTTGCCCTCGCTAATGAGTCGTAATTTCAATTTTTTTTAGTCATTTGCTCGACAGTGAAAACTGGAACGAAAACTCTGAATTTTGCAGATTCCTCGAAAAGTTTCCAATTTTGAAGCCAAACTTTTTCATTCAATTTTTTATTTTAATTATTATGTATTTTATATTATCCGTGGATAAATAAATGAAATTTCGAATTATGTATCAGATTTTTATTTTCGATTTTGGAACAAGTTTTTTTTGTTACGATTTCTCACAAAATCCTATTCCAGCGTGTATTCCACTTGCACAAATCCAACTCCAAAACCCAACCCTACCTCCAGCCAAAACAAATATACAAAGGAAAAGAAAACAAGTTCTTGATAACCCCACCCCCACCCACCCCCACCTCCACAAAATACATACATACACACATAAAATACAATTTACATGTATTCTTTAAGAAAGTTTCTTTGTCAAGAACATAGCAGAAGTTATCCCCTATGATAGGCTAGAATTAAACAAATAGGCAGCCATCAACATCAGCCTACCTAAAGTCTTTCTTAATCCCTCAATACTTAGTCAAATTTGTGGTGTTTCCCCACAAATTGGAAACAACTTTGAAAAAATCCAAACACAATCCACACTCAATCAATATTCAAACTATTCCAAATAGATTTGCACAAAGTAGTTAGCTGTGGACAGCACATTTCCAAGTCAAGATATCAATCAACAAAAACAATGCAAAGTTTACATCTCAGTCAAAATTGAAAAACAAAAAAAAAAACTGTTTGAGAATTGCCTTACATTGATAATCTAACCAGGGGAAGAGAATATACAGAAGCTCTATACATACAAAAAAAAAAAGCAAACAAAGCTATGAAAAGAAAAAAATAAGAAAACTATCGGCAAAAACCTTAACGAAAACAAAGTTAGACGTACCACCTAAATCAAAAGCCAAGAAAAAATAAACGAAACGTGTTCTTCTATCTTTTCACTTTTTCAGTCACACGATAGTCAAAAAACTTCTTAATTCTTAGCGGAGAGCCGTTTCAAGAACTCGTAAGTAGTGATCATAGTAGTTGCTGACATGGACATGGAAGCGCACCTCGGACCCAACCCTCTGTAACAAGCCAACCACCCACCCTCCCTCACAAGATTCCTCACCGTTTGCCCCAAAGTGGGCCCCTTTCTACCATTCTCATCCCCCTCCAAGACCTGCAACCTCGTCTTGATTGTATCCAGAGGCATTGTGATCAAAGCCGAAACCCCACCCGCCATAGCTGCACTCACCCCTTGTACTGCAATCACCGTTTTACCGTCCGGCCTAAATCCACTATCAACTCCATTTTCGATCTTTTCTTCGCCTTTCTTGCAAAGAAAACACCCCATTCCATCCCAAACGAGCCTCTGCACCACCGAATAAGAAGCCCACCAAACGGCATTCGAAGGCGCGTAAGTCAAGATCGATATCCCAAACCCTCTATACAACCCTCTAACACCGTCCGTGCTCAAAATCTTCCTGAATGCATCGGCTCCGTTTATGTATTTACAAGGCAACGCAGTCAAACCGCTCCCCTGAGCCATCAGCCTCTGGCTGATAACATCAACCGGCGTCCACACCACCTGTGCCGCCATCGCGGCACTCAAACCGGCGGCTGCGTTGGCCACTGCCGCCGCGGTAGGCTCGGGAAATCCGAGCCTAGTGGCGGCGGTCCCCACCCTACTCTTGGTGACCTCGAGCGCAGTCATGTATAGAGCTCTGGCAGGGATAGTTCCCGTCAGTGAGGTTCCGAAGCCTCTGTACAATCCACGAAGGCCTTCGTGCCTCACCGTCCAAACTGCGGTTCTCACACACGAAACGTGCGATTGAGCAACCTGTTGACGGGTTTTCAACACCACCGCAGGGTATAAAGTGGCGGAAACACCGGAAAACAAGGCCGCCCCGAGAAAGAAGAACTTGGACTTATCCAGCATTTTCCAGTCTATATCTGCTGGAATGTGAATTTCTTGTGCTGTTGATTCTTCCTCAGCAGTACTTAGATTCATTTTCTCCAGTTTTTTGTTCAAAAGTGTTTAATTCTAAGCCCTAAATCACTTGCTTATAGATATAAACTATTCACTTGTATGACAAACAACATAAATCTAGAGAGAGAAAAGCATAGAAAACAACAAAAATTGGTAATCGGTAACGGATAATTACATATGTTAGAGAGAGAAAAGGCCAAAATCAAACGAATTGCAAACTTTAGGGATTCATACGAAGGGGGGAATCGATTTCCTGCGCTTGTGGAACCATGTCTCCGATTGGAAGTTAATTAACACAAACGGTAATAGCATTTCTCGAAAACTTCTTACCGGAAAACAGATTACTAATCCGTACCCAATCGGAAAGTCTCGCCGGCGTAAGATCGGATCTCGCCGGTAAAAGTAGGTTATTTTTATAGGTTTACAGTGCTGACACTGTTTGAACTGAGAGAGAGAGATACGGATGTGTGTAATATCAAATGTGAGGGTTCGGTATTTTATTTTGTGCAAGAAGCTAATATTTAATATTTAATATTTAATATTATTTATTTAGTATATATCCTTTTCAAGGAAATAATAATATTTTCGAAAATTCAATCACTAAAAAAAAAAGATATTAATATTTGAATTAAACGATGTGCTTAGCATTTCATGAATTATGACTTATTATTAACATAAATAAATTAAAACCGGGTCGGGTCTGACTGGATTCGTACCGGCCCAAAAGTGAATTGTACGGGCCCAAAAAGGAAGTATGGATAGAAAAAAAGCCCAAATACTGAATGAAAGCCCATCATACTATTTCAATATTTCAAGAATATAATACATACAATCCATACTATAGATAAATTAATTTTATACCAAATATCCAATATATATATATATATATATATATATATATATATATATATATATATATATATATATATATATATATATATATATATATATATATATATATATATATATATATATATATATATATATATATTCTAAAAAAAAAGTTATTGGGGAGAGATGTACAATCTTGATCCGTCCGCCAAACACCTAAGATACGGTGATGTCCTTCTATAGAGTCTGAGTCGATTGACTAAAAGATGTTTTGAAAAGTTTCGGCCGAGCTATAAAGAAAAAAAGTTGGACTGATGTCAGATTTAGCATTCTGAAAGTCAAATTAGTAGGTGTCGTAAAGTGTTTGTCAAAGGATGGAAGCAATGTTACTGAAAAGTAGATTTGTACGTTGATGTTCTCTCAAAAAAAAAAAAAAATATACGTTGATGAGAAAAATATGCTTTCGATACGAGGGTACAAGAAAAACATGCTTTCGATCGGACTCTAAGAAATCCTCCAAAATTGGATCGAAACATGTCAACTCGTTGTACGTCCCGTGGTAATCCGGACAGCGATCATCATTGCATTCATTTTTTAGTACACGTTTTGCAATATTTTACAAAGTATTTTAAAAAGCTTATATTTATGTAACAAATAATTTACATAAGTACATATTTTTTTGTTTATTTTCTTTCATTGGCAAAAAAAAAAAATACAATTAGACATTAAAAATGAAAAAAGAAAAAGAAAAAAAGAAAAAAAAAATGAAAAGACACAAAAAAGCCTAACCCTTAGAAATAAGGAAAGTACGAAAAAGTCCCTGACAGAAACAATCTCATCCAAAATCATTCGACACTCCGAGTCACATTGCCCACCTCCACTTCTCTCAACAATGGCGGCTCCTCACATTTTCAGATCCTCCTTCCTCTCTACACAACCCCTCCCCCACAACTCCTCCGCCGTACGCGCCGCCCCTCAAAGCCCCCTCTCCATCCGCGCAACCGCCACCTCCTCCGATGCCTCCGCCCCAATCAAGCACCGCCGCACGGAGGAGAACATCCGCGACGAGGCCCGGCGCCACACCTCCTCCCACAACTTCTCCGCCAAGTACGTCCCCTTCAACGCCGAGCCCACCTCCACCGAATCCTACTCCCTCGACGAGATCGTCTACCGCAGCCGCTCCGGCGGCCTCCTCGACGTCCAGCACGACATGGAAGCCCTGAAGAAATTCGACGGCGAGTACTGGCGCTCCCTCTTCGACTCGCGCGTGGGCAAGACCACCTGGCCCTACGGCTCCGGCGTCTGGTCCAAGAAGGAGTGGGTCCTCCCCGAGATCGACAGCGACGACATCGTCAGCGCGTTCGAAGGTAACTCCAACCTCTTCTGGGCTGAGCGTTACGGCAAACAGTTTCTGGGCATGAACGATCTCTGGGTCAAGCACTGCGGTATCAGCCACACCGGCAGCTTCAAGGATCTCGGCATGACCGTACTGGTCAGCCAGGTTAACCGCCTCCGCAAAATGAACCGCCCAGTCGTCGGAGTCGGCTGCGCCTCCACCGGCGACACCTCAGCCGCCCTCTCCGCCTACTGCGCCTCCGCCGGAATCCCATCCATCGTCTTCCTCCCCGCCAATCGAATCTCCATCGCCCAGCTCGTTCAGCCAATCGCAAACGGAGCCTTCGTTCTTAGCCTCGACACCGATTTCGACGGCTGTATGCAGTTGATCCGCGAAGTCACATCGGAGCTGCCTATCTACTTGGCCAATTCTTTAAACAGTCTCCGATTAGAGGGGCAAAAAACCGCGGCCATCGAAATACTTCAGCAGTTCGATTGGCAGGTGCCCGATTGGGTAATCATCCCGGGCGGAAACCTAGGCAACATATACGCGTTCTACAAAGGCTTCCAAATGTGCAAAGAGCTAGGGCTTGTCGATAAAATCCCCCGACTCGTCTGCGCTCAAGCCGCCAACGCGAATCCTCTCTACCTCCATTACAAATCGGGGTGGACGGATTTCAAAGCCGTCAAAGCGGGGACCACTTTCGCATCCGCCATTCAAATCGGAGACCCCGTCTCGATCGATAGGGCCGTCCTCGCGCTGCAAAATTCAAACGGGATTTGCGAGGAGGCGACCGAGGAGGAGCTGATGAATGCAATGGCGCAAGCTGATTCGACCGGGATGTTTATCTGCCCGCATACCGGCGTCGCTTTGTCTGCTCTGATCAAGCTGAGGAACAGCGGTGTTATCGGGCCCACAGATAGGACTGTTGTTGTGAGTACCGCGCACGGATTGAAGTTCACGCAGTCGAAGATCGATTACCATTCGAATGCGATCAAGGATATGGACTGTAGGTACGCGAATCCGCCGGTGCATGTGAAGGCGGATTTCGGTTCGGTTATGGACGTTCTGAAGAAGTATCTGCTAAGCAAAGATTCCAAGGTGCAATGAGTAAGTTTTCGTGTTGCCTTGGTTAGCTTTTAGAAGAGGCGATCCCTTTTGGTTTTTCCCCGATTATAATTGTTGTTTTTTTCATGGATATCGTTGCACAATTTTTGATTCGGAGTTTTCTGTTTAATGAAACTATGTTTTTTTGAGTTCGAGATTTTCATGCATCTCATCTGATGTGGCTTTCGGTAGACTTATCGTTTGATGCATGTCATGATTTAGTGAATGATGAAGCATGCATACAAGGATAGATACAAGAATGAACACACTGTTTATCTTCCTTTCTTTATATATCTGTGTGTGTATTATGTGTGAGTTCAATTTTTGTCTTTCTAGTATAGTATCTTTTCTCTCTTCTCTCTTTCGATCGATGTGGGGTTATATTTTGATCAACGGTACGTAAACAGGGGTAATTACACTTTTCGTTCCTTTACTTGGCACCTAAAACGATTATAGTCCTCAAAATTTGAACTTTTTGACACTTTTGATTCGATTGTCAACTTTTTCCGGTTGATCATGTGGTAAATAAAATCGAGCTGAAACACACACCCAAGCCCCATTTGGTGGTCTAAGCATGAGGAGTGTGACACCTCATTCTCTCTTCCCTATTTGTATTATGAAATCCCTAATTTCTTGTGAACGTAAACCCTACCCTCAAATTCCATTTCGAATCCTCCAATTGAGGTGAAATAAGGCAAGTCAGAATCGGCGCCCAACCCGATATTTTGGAATGTTTGTGGAGTTGGAAAGTCACAATCGTGCTACAATAATCTTCGATTTTGGCCAAATGATAAAAAAAAAAGTTCACATTTTCACAAAGTAAACTCGAAATGTGTATTACTCCTCCACAACATTTTTTCCTAAAGCCGCGCAATGCAAGACTCTGGATTTGAACAGATTTGACAACTCAATACTTTGGATTTTGTAGGCTATTTGAGGATTGGAAGAAAAAATTGGGTATGTTAGGGTTTAGAGGAAATAAGATGGAAAGAAAAATTGGGGGTTTGAGTGAGAGAAACAATGGAAGAGAATGATGTGTAAATTATGTTCCAGCTCGATTTTCGATTTTCGATTTTGACTGCGACATGGATATCATCTGCAAGGCACTTGACAAATTTGTTCAAGTTAATTGGCAAAATTGACGACCAACCAAAAGTGTAAATAATTGTAAATTTGATGATGATTAAATTCGCGAAAGTTTGAGGACTAAAACAATTTCGGTTGACAAGATAGGACATAAAGTGTAATTATCTCTACATAAACACTAAGAGGGTTTTATTAAATTGAAATAAATAAATAAATTATGTCAATCAAATTGTATTAGTGTGGATCTACGGTTCAAATTCACCTAGTGTAAATAACCAGGTGTAACATCTAATTTTCCGATTAAATAATGTTTGATCACACGCATCTAACTCTTGAAAACAAACTCACAAGTGCATATTCCGTGACACTACAGTTTGTTCCCAAGAAGAAATTCCCAACCCCCTCTTTCACCCTATATATATACATGTATCTATATCACACTATCTCACACAAGCTAAGAGAAAAGAAAAAAAAGTAAAATCAAATCAAATCTGTTTTAGTGATCTAGTTCATAAGTTACGCAGAAATGGGGTCGTCTTCGTCGTATCAGAAAATTGCGATTCTCGCCATCTTCTTCGTGGTGGTTCTTGGTGTGGCTACCACCACTGCTAACGGGCAGATGGTATGCAAGATGACGTTGGGGGATTTTTTGGCATGCAAGTCGGCGGCAACTCCACCGAACCCACCACCACCGTCTGCCGCCTGTTGCTCCGGCATATCACATGCCGACCTTTCATGCCTTTGCTCGTTCAAGAACAACACTCTGTTGCCTTCGTTCGGGATCGACCCGAACCTAGCCCTACAACTCCCTAAAAAGTGCAACATCCCCCTTCCTTCAAAATGCTAAAAAGGGTTTTTTTTAAAACCCTAAATATATAATAATAAAGCTTTGATAATACTATATATACATAAGATATATATATATATCTATATATGTATAATGCTATCTCCTATTGAGTATTTGTTGCTCTTGTGTGTTTCTGCTACTAAGCTGTAATGGTTTGTTCAATAAACAGTTCGAAATCTAACTCGAAGCCGATAATCGATTTATGACGTGGTTTTTTAATTTCCGTAATTTCTTCGTCAGTATCTATAATGAAAGATCACAATGACTGTTTTTAGCTTTGTAAGTACAAACTACAAACCTCGTCGCACAAATCGAACGAGATTATTCAGTTGGGATTAAATATACGGCACCAAACAGAGAAAAAATCTTGAATTATACGACACCAAACAGATAAAATTTGAGTTTTTGACCAAGATAATCGATTATCGACATGAGAGCGAAACAGGGTGGTGTAAAAGAGCGACACAGCTTGTAAGAAATCTGGTCTTCAGTTTTATTACAGCAACGTAAAAACTCGAACACAAAAACCAAATCACGACACTATGGATCACCATAACTGTTCTTCCCATCAATGAAGCAATACTATCGGAAAAAAAATGAGGTTAATAAAAAGAAATAAAAAAACGATCTTTGTTAAAAAAAAAAAAGAATACTAATTCTGACTTGATCCAGGACCCGGTCCTAGGCTAGACAATCCCACTTCTCGTTTCATCGAATGAATCTTTTCAAGCTTCAATTTAGCCCGGAAATTAGTGATAAAGCTCTCAGCTTTCGTGTCAACATCCGGGCTAGGGCAGAACAACGGCGAAGGATGGAACGGGCTCACTTCGGTGGGGTCCACGGACGAGGGTGTGACGTCAGAATCCACGTCGTCGAAATCGGGGGAGCCACTCCTCGAGCTTGTGCTGCTGTTGATCCTGACGTAATCACCTTGCACCACGAACTTCCATGCCGGGGTTTTGTAGAATGATGGAGGGGGTGGTGGAGGAGGGGGTGGAATGCGGTTGAGGGGGGATTCGCCCCCGCTGTTTGAGATTTCGTCTAGTTTTTCGGAGGTGTTTGTTTTTGCGGGTTTTGGCGGTTTTCGAGTGGTGGTGGTGGTGGTGGAGGTTGATGGGGCGAGGGGAGACTCGGGTTGGATTGTGACGGTTATGGTTCTCTTTCTTTTGTGTTTCTTGGATGAGAAGAGATTTTGAAAGACCGAGGGCGGTGGAGGAGGAGGTGGCGGCGGCGGTGGCGGTGGAGATGGTGGGGGAAGGTGGAAGCTTAGTGGAGGTTGAGCTTCGTGGATTAGAGAATCCAAATTGTCGACGCTCTTTTGCCGTTGCTTCTTCTTCTTCTTGTTCTTGTTCTGGTAAAGAGAGTTCAAGAAATCTTTAGTTGCACTTCCAGTTGCACCGCCTCTTTTCTTCTCACTTTTGCTACTCTTTTGCTCCGGCGGCGGCGGGGGTGGCGGCGGAGGAGGAGGGGGCGGAGGTTCAGATGGTGTGGAAATGGGATTTGTGGGTTCAGTATCTTTAATCTGTTTCCGATTTAATCTGTCCTTTTTCCGTGCTCCTCTTTCATGGGTTCGCTTTCCATTTTCCAGAAACTGAGCTGAATCCGCCGCCGCCGCCGGCAGACGTGGCTTCGCCGCCGTACCGGCATTCAATGGTTCTAAACCTTTTTCAAGTTTCCGGCTTGATCTTTCGTTTCTAGGTGGTACACTTTCATTCCTACCCTCTTCTTCACCCTCTTCAAGCTCCGGCAGAGAATATACCGCCGCCGCCGCCGCAGGCGACGGCGGCGGTGGAGTCGCCGGCGGAAATTTTTCCGCAACCACAGATTTGGTCAGCAATGTATCAACGAAAACAGTCCTACTCCGAGGCGGTGCTCTCAGTATCAAATGATCAACTCCTTCCAAGCTCCGGTGGCGGCGGTGGATCCGACCCGGATCCGAAACCCTACCCGAATCAAAACGAACATCGTCATCATCGTAGTATCTCCTCTGGTAATCTCCGTAAGACCATTGTACGGACGAAACCTCACGCAGATCCGGGTACGAGTTGCTGTTTCTTCTCAGCACCGAATTCTTCTGCTCCAACTGTTCATACCATTGCTGCTGGTTCGAAGAAGCTGCAAGATTCGATTTTTCCGATTTTTTCGATTTTTGGGAAGCTCCGAATTCATCGTAATTATACGGATAATTCTCGTCGTTTTTGTTTCTGCTGAGGAAACCAAACACCACGGCGACCAAAACAAGAAGTATGTTCAAAGAATCCCAGCTTTTCTTGACACTGTTTGGCTTAAAGATCTGAGCACTAAATGAAATTGTTGAAGGAAGAACAAACACCAAGAAAAAAAAAGCTGTTACCAAGAGGAGGAAAACCACTAGCCCTGAGCTGAAGAAGACGGAGGCGGCGCTGCGGCGGAGACGGTCGCCGCGGCGGACATTGGTGGCGCTCTGGACCCAGAACGGTGTCACTTCTTCTTCCCCATCTTCTTCCATTTTTTTTTTTATTTTTTTTTTTTTTTTTTTGATGAAACTCAAAAAAGTGATTAGTTTGGCAACTTTTTGAGGGTCCCTTTAGCTTATGGCTTTTGCTTTTGTGGGTTTTTGCTGTTATCTTGCAAGGATTTGGAATTTATTAGATATGATTGTGAGGTTGGAAATGGTATATAGTAGTTGGATTAATGTATTTATTTATATATACATCTTCTGGGGTTAGCTTAATTTATTTCCAATTGTGCAATAGTTTATTTAATTTTTTATATAAAAAATAATTAGAGAAATAATTGTAGTCTAATATTTCAAGAAACCACACTGGCAATTAGCATGTAACTTCACATGTTGCCTGATTTTCCGTGTGGATTGCAAGAATGACAACCCTATTATATAACAAACGCGTTTGACATTTGTCTCGTACGTAATTTGAGCAATTAAGCATGTGTCAATTAACTCACGCATGATCAGGTTAGTGTAATTTACGTTTCTCGTATGATAATTAATGTGTCATTCAGATTGTCATCTTTTAAATTTTATTTAAGATACAAACATTTATAAAAAGATTAATTTGAGTTTTTCTTTTAAGTCACATGTTCATTTATCCCTTTTAAAAATATTCTTGTGAGTTTGTTGAATTCTCTTTATGATTTTGATTGATGCTTGCTATATAATTTACTCAAATAGATGCACAGTGCATGTAAAATGATTAGTGTTTGTGTAAAAATAAATAGATTATTTTTCCAAATTTAAATAGTATCAAAAAGGAATTATAAAATATACTTTGCTTCACCTAGTGGTTCACCAACTTCCAGTATATTTGTGGAAAAATTCAATCGACTATTAATATTGTTGTCACGCAATTATTGAGAATATAAAGCAGAAGTCAAATTAATTATGCCAAAATGTAACGACCCATTCAATGATCCCATCTAATTTGAAACATAATACAAAATTTAATAAATAAATAATTATTAATTAGCCACATTTTTTTTTTTTTTGGTAATGCAGGAACCCGCAGCCAACCATATAGGTGCACTGGGTAAACCTACACTCTCGTATAATAGTAATTAGCCACATTTTCAATTTTGCAACAGTGGTGTGGCGCGTTGTGTGTTACATACGATTCGTTTTTTGTTAAATAAATAATTAAACATTTTTTGCTAAATAAATAATTAATCATATGATTTTTCTACTTCATTTACTTCAAACCAAGCCCAAGTTATTTGTGCCCATGAAATAATTAATCTACCAGATTAGTCGATTTTTCGGGTTTTTGATATGTCGCTGAGTACTCTCCAATATAATTTCAAAACTCCTACAATTTAACAAATTATTCCTTGTCAATCTCGCATTTTTTTACGTTTTTTATGGATTTTATCAACTAGGAAGAGACAATAAACCAAATGGATGACGATTATCCCGGTTTTCAGGTAATTTTTTGTTTTATCGAGAAAAAAATATGGTTTTGAATACAGAATCTCTATTTGCAATTCCGGATTCCAGGTTCCGTGTTGAACAAATTTACCTCAAATCTGTATCAAATATCAACTGACACAAGTTCACTTGCTCCAACCGTTAGAACATTTTTTGCGTGTCAAAACAACCCTTTTCTAGCACATATATAAGAGATCTCTAAAAAAGGACACACCATAAATATTGATTCGACGAGAACAATTTAATTTCCAACGACCTTATTTTTGCCATTAATTTTCCCTCCCAAAATCACCACAAAAATTCAAACAAACTTCATTTCTCCTTTTAATGTTTTATCATTTTGTGTTACCTACCACAAAGTGAATTAAAATGGTGAATAAATTGTTACAATTAATATGGAAAAAAAATGGGACCAAAGTACACAAACTTCTAATGAACTCAAAGGCATTACACTCCAGATTGTCATTACAGCTTTTTGAGACACTAGGACCATTTTCGAAAGAGACAACACACGGCCGGTTTCTGCTGTAATAATAATTCCGTGGTGGCGGTACGGTGGTGGTGGTGGCGCGGTGGTGGTGGTGATAATTCCCTGTAAAGATTTAATGGCAAAAGAAAATAACATATGCCCAAAATCTACTAATATACAGTGTGAAATTAGGTGCCAAAATTCTAACAAGAGTTGCATTTCACTTTTTCTATGTTACATAATTGTAACTAATTTCTCATACTTAACAAACATAAAAATCCCATATGAAAAATAAATGGGACTTTTTGCTATGCAATAATAAGAGCAACATACTTATATATTAAAATAAAATTAAAAAAAAAAAAAAACTAAATCACAATAAAGTAATTAAAAGGTCAACCATCATATCATTAATTCAAGATTTGGACTTGAATTTTCTTTGAGCTTTCAAATCGACTACGATGATCGAGATATTGTCCTTGCTCCCCTTTTGTATGGCGAGGTTCGAGAGATAATCAGCTGCAGCTTGTGCAGCGAGATCCACCCCACGCCCCCTGTCGGCCAATGGGTAATTGGTCCCGTTTTTTTTGTGCCAAATTAAGATTCTTTTTCGAGCGACTTCGCACACTTCCTCGTTTGTCATAACATCCCACAAACCGTCTGTGGCTAAAACGAGGCACTCGTCTTCTCTTGCGCGCGGCACGAACATTATCTCGGGTTCCGGAATTATCCATGGCTTCAGATATCTGTCGCCTAAGACAATTACAAAGTACGAGGTTGCACGAGAGATTTTAGTTCGCAATATTATGGTGGAACAAAATATACGTACAATTACAACATGCTCTAAATAATCGAAGGTCTAATTAACGCTACACTATATGTGTAGTAGGGTAGCACATAGACCTACCTATAGCTCTCGACATTGCGAGAACACCGAAAACACGGTGCCCATTCCAAGGTATAACCTTGCCACCAGACGCTTCGATTCTAGCATATTCATCCTCTCGATTCGGCTGACAAAAAAAAAAATCCGAAATTATTTACACAAAAACCGAAATAAATCAAAATCTATAAAAAGACCAACTTTTTTTATTTTTACCTTATGATCAACCGATAGGGCAACGACTTCTTTACCACGGTAAAGAACAGCCCTCGAATCTCCACAGTTGGCAACTATAATATGTGACGAACAAACAACCGCAACGACAGCTGTCGATCCAACGGTTTCCGCCGCAACGGGCTGGGAATTGCAGTGGGCCCCACTTTGAGACTTTCCGGAAACTTCTTCATCGACTTTGAGAAAGCAATCTGTGAAGACCTTCTCCCACTGAACCTGCCTAGTGTCTCCAGAAATCCCGTTTATTGGAACATTGTTGATATCTTTTACGTTTTTTAACTCCTCCACTAAAGCCAAGTGTAATCTATCTCGACAATAATTCGCTACCTACAAAATGAAAATGAAGCTACTAATAATGAGTCAAGCATTGCAGCAGTGTCTTAAATCAACCAAAACCGAAACAATATATATGAGTTAGTTGCATTTAGTACCCTTATGCTATATCAAATTGATAAAAAAAGTCCCCGTTTTGTAAATATCACCAAAAAAACCCTATAATGCATGTTTTTTAGCAAATAAATCCCTAAATGGTGAGTTTTTAGAGGGTAGTTTGCTTAACAAATTGCATTATAGGGGGGATTTTGCTAACGTTTTTCACGATTAGATCAAATTCAGAGGTGCTTAATGCAATAAAGCAACACACACACACACACACACACACACACACACACACACACACACACACACACACACACACACACACACACACACACACACACACACATATAAACTCACTACAATTGATTTCGGTTATTGTACTTGGCAACTTATCCAATAGAAATAGAAAGTGCACGCTTAATACGAAAACCAAGATCGAGTATGAAACACAATTTATAGATGAAATAACGAATACCTGAGATCCACCATGACCATCGTAAACACCGAAGAAATGCGAAGTCAAGTGAGTCAAAGTTTGACTTATTCCATTTATTCCACTATCACCAATAAACATCTTAATCGGGATTTTCATAAAATCGGGTACAGCCATAACAGAATCTTCCATCTCAGGCCTATGCCCAATAACAGAAACCGAACCCCATAGCGGGAGACAATCCAATTCGAAGACACTCTTGACACCGCTTTTGTTCGAATCCTTTTCGTTGGATAATTTGACAGCAACAACCGAAGCCTTTATAGTGGGCCCACTACTCGAACACCCTTCATCGGATAATCTCCGCTTGCTACTTCTCTCTTCCAAGCTAATGACCTTGGCGAGTATTTGACCGTTTTCAGTGCCCTCGATTTCGACTGCAATCGGTAAGCTGGTTTCTGAAGCCGTATTTAAGGGTAGGGCTAAATTTGAAGTAGGATCGAGTGGTAGTAAATTTACGGTTGTTATTGAGAGAATTTCGTCTTCCTCACTTTCTTGAACGTTTTCAGACACCAGTCCAGTTTCTAGCATATCGGGTTTTGTTGCACTTTCTGTGTCTGGATTAAGAGGCGTGTTTTCGGAAACGGGATTGTCTAAGGTAAGCGAAACTGCAACCGCAACTGCAGGTGTAATCTGTTCCATCTTGTTTTAGAGCAATAGAGACAAACTTGGAGAATCTTAAGAACATGCATTCAGCTTGAGAACTAACAAAAGGGAGTGTAATAGAATAGACCACAAGAATCAAGACCACTTTTTTTCTTCTTTTTTTCAAAGATACACACAAGAAACAACTGAGATCTAGTAATGAAATATAGGATCTAATCTTCCACACTTCTTCCACAAAGAAAGTATTTTTTTTTTTTCTTTTTTTCACTTTTTTTTTGAATACTTAAAACAAATTCTTCTAATCTAGAAAAGAATTTAACACCAATTCTTTCCTAGTACCAACCCTTATACATACTCTAGGAGATGGAGGAGAAAAAAAAAAGGGATAAAATAAAAATCAAAGACTTATCCAAAAGTCCAACAAGGGATAAAACTCGTGGGGGAAGAACCTAGGAAAAAGGAAAAAAAAAAAAAAAAAAAAAAAACCCCCCTGTCAAGATTCACGAGGAATCCATTAAAGATTCAAACTTTATGCCACATGGAACATGGGTTTTCATGGATCTAAGGCAACCCTTCTCAGCCTCTTGAATAATATTGGATTTCTTTATTTATATATTATTATTAACAACTTCTTCCCAAAAGAAAAAAAAGAATCAAGATTCAAGATTCCTCTAAGAACACTTTCTTGATACAGCAACTAAAAAAAAAACCCTCTTCAAGAATAAGAAAATGAAGGGTTCTTACCAAGAATTGGATTGGAAGAACACCATGAACAAGGGGCGAAGTGAAATTATGTCTGCTAATAATAATGCCCCCCTCTGTTGGTTTTTCTTTTGCCCCCCTCGGTTACTGCCTTTCTGAGATTGAGAGGGAAAGAGAGAGAAGAGAGTAGAGAGAGAAAGAGGGGGTATGTGGAAAAAGCTTTTACTGAGAAGTAGTACTCCACATGACACGTGTAGACTCAATTATCTAACTCCAATCAATGCTTCTGTACCGAAATATATATTATATTATATAAAATATATGTGTGTGTATATAGTTATTATTTATAATGGACAAAAATGAAGAAGAGAGAGAGAGAGAAGCAATCGGCTTCGGATTGTGATTTGCAATAAATATTCCCAAGGGGGGTTCGTCATGGACTATTCATGAAACAGATTTCAAGATGGCCACGTGTCCTTTCTTGACAGGGGCAGATTTCCCTAGGCCTTTGCTTTGTAATGTAAGAGAAAAAATGAGTACATTTACTCTCTTATGTCATAGTTTTTAGTAGAGAAGGATCTTGTAGGTGGTGGTGATATTGTGTACATACATATATTCCAAGTTGTGGTACCTTTCATTTAGGTAGTGCATTTTTAAATGAGTTGAAAAGTTGTTGTAATAAGCACAACCTTGTATCCATTAAATTAGATCATTTTTGGTTGTGTGTGTGTGTGTTTTTTTTTTTTTTTAATTCGATTAGAATTATCTAATTAGTTGTTTTTTCTTCTAGAATGAGGACTAGATCCAAAATCAACCTATATGAATGGATCTAAGGTGAATTGAACTTGGATCGTACCGGATTCGATCCATATGGACCTATTGCATCTTTAACTCAACTTATGTGGTTTAATCTGTATTAGAATGTGTGTCAAAAATGTGTGTGCGTGAACAGTGTGTTGAAATGTGTTGAGGTGCTAACAATGTGCTACATTGGTTTAATATGAGAAAAATCACTGATTTTTAATGAGGGATAGCAACTCCATTGGTATGAGGCCTTTTGGAGAAACTTAAGAACAAAACCAGTTGGGCCCGGCCCAATTTGGACAATATCGTACCAATGCGAAGTTTGTCTTATCTCAGGCGGACACAATAGTGGTATCAGAGACATGGCCCAGACCTAACCAATCATGTGGTGAAAATTGCCGGAATTTGTGTGAAATTTCGGAATCCTCGGTACCAAACAAAAATGGTGAGCTCCCGGTGCACAAATGTCAGACGACTCGACGAACTCCAGGTGGGAGGCTCAGTATTCCTTTGTTCGAGGCTCGGTGCGCTCTGAAACAAAGATGGTGTGAGTCCAAGACGGAGGCTGGGTGGTCCTTTGTGGTCCGACCTATGTGGGGCCTTTGTTCGAGGGGAGGATTGTTGAAGTGATACCAATGTGGAGTTTGTGCTATCCCAAGATACAATGGATCCGAATCAGTCCAAGTTCGATCCAATTTAGATCCATTCATATAGCTAGGTTGCTTATGGATCCACTCCACATGGATCCGATCCAAGTTGAGTAAATCGTCACCTCTAGTTTTGACCGACTTTTTCAATTTTGAGATTTGACAATTTTTTTTCAGTACTCGGGCTTGATTATATCCAATATAGTCTACTTAATTTTTAGTTGAACTTTTAATTGATTCAAATTGGATCCACATGGATCCAACCTTTAAAAGTTTTCTACTTGGTTCGACCCAACTTTGTTCTAACTAGATTTAACGCAAATCAAATCCATGTCGATCGAACCGAATTTGATCAGATCCATGGAGCGAGATCCAAATTGCCAATCCTTGTTAAAACAAAATAGAGAAAACAAAAGTCAAGGTATGTACACAACATAAGAAGAAAAAACAAAGTGAGAACAAAACAAATGGATTAACACATATTTATGTAATTAAACCTAAGTGATGCTTACATGGATATGCATAATATATAGGCATACATAGTGGTGGATGATGTACTAGTTCCTTTCTTTATCTTGGTTTATTTTAATAATATATTATATATATTGCGTCATATAATCATCATTTATCTTACATCATGGTCGAGCCTTTCATTAAAAATAAAGTACCAAAAAATATAAAAAATGAAAAATTGCATGGTGACTTTTCTTGATCAAATAGTGCAGTTTGTTTCAAAGTATTGAATCCTTTTCACTATGAGTAGGTATACTAAGTGCCCCACCGGCCACCAAACAATTTATGTTGACTTAAATACTACATTTGTTTTATTTTTGGGATGTAATACTCTTACATCTAATACAACAACTAATCGAATATCTTACTAACTAATTTTTTTTTTTTTTTTGGTAATGCAGGAACCCGCAACCAACCATATAGGTGCACTGGGTAAACCTACACTCTCGTATAATAGCTTGCAAACCATACATCTTACTAACTAATTAATTAATCAATCACAAGTTCATAATCTAATTCTTATTATTCCGATCAATACAACCAAACTGAGGCATAGGAAAATATTCTAATTTAGGACATAAAATTCTATCGAATGCTCGAAAAAGAAACTCGTACATATCCTTTATCGTTAGAATACTACATCTCATATTTCATGTTATCAATATATATTTTTCAAAATAGTGACAAGACCACTAATATTTATACATTATCAATTATCATTAAAATTAAAAAAAAAAAAAACTAAAAAAAAAATACATTATACAATTGTCCCTTTCTCATCCTCACAATATTTTTGTAATAATTTATGGTAATTTAAATTTGAAGACATTTACATCCATTCAACCAACGGTTCAGAAATAACCTAAGAATCAAAACCCCAAATATAGGCTTAAAACTAAAAAAAAAAAAAAAAAAAAAACGAACGAAACAAGTCCATAATCTCCTCCACCGGTGACGAGGTTAATTACGTGCATGCACGGCTGAGCCGCCACGGTAGCGCCCAACCAGCAACCACCTCTTCCAGTGGTGCCGCTGTCCAGCGCCACCCCTTCTCCGCCATGCAACCACCACATATATATTAATTATATATATGTATGCATAATTAATCCCTCGTAGAGCTATATAGCGTATTTAACATGTCGAATCAAGATTCGAGATCATCGGAAGAAGGCAAGATTATTTCCACCGCCGTTGCCATTGACAAAGACAAGAACAGCCAATTCGCTGTCAAATGGGCAATCGATAAATTAAGATTGAGGGATAATCGAATCATCCTCGTTCACGTTAGAACGCATCATAGTCATGATTCTCGTGGGTATTCTTGCTCCTTTTTTTTATCCATTATTATTATTATTTTTTATTGGATATAGACATGCAATATAATTGTCAAAATTTTATCACATTTTCTTTTTAATGCAGATGAAATTACTAGAGAAGGGCGCGAACCTAATCAAGCTGAAACGCAGCAGTTATTCCTTCATTATCGTGGTTTTTGTGCACGAAAAGGGGTACCTAACACGATTTTCTTTTTTATGATCCACACATATATATATATCATGCATATATAATTAGCACATATTGATGAATATATGACCATCTGTTATGTATGACAATTAAAAGAGTCCAATTCTTGATAATGAGCTCAAAAAATCAAGATTCTCTAATATGTATTACTGACCTGAGTTTTGCCGATTTGAATCTCGAAAACCAAAGCTTGAACCTGATTATGCAACTGATTCCAAATCATCAACAGATTCAAAACAGGATATTCTATTACAATTTCTACTGCAACGTAAATAATAACTTTGTGACTGACCGTTTATTCAGATTCGTGCAAAGGAGGTGATTCTGCAAGACATTGAAGTTGCAAACGCCCTTTCCGAATACATCAAAGTCAACTCCATCACCACCGCCGTACTTGGCGCTTCTAGCAGAGGTGCCATAGCAAGGTACACACACACACACACACACACATTATATATACATGCATATATTAAAAAATTCGAAAGTTGGATTTTTCGATACTTTTAATTTTGTTTTGTCAGGGCATTTAAAAATGCGGATGTTCCCACTTCAGTGGCAAGAAATGCACCTGATTCTTGTGCAGTGTATGTTGTATCAAAGACGAAAATAATGAAGCTAAAATCTTCGAGTCAACCCGATACTCCCTGTAGTGCAACCAGCTCCATGCCACGTAATGCATTTTCTCCCGATGCCCCTGCAAGATTCCGGCCGTAAGTCATTTCTTTTATTCTTCATTTTTTTTTTTTTTTTTTTTTAACGTGGGCCCCACTTTAACAGCCAGGACAGCTGGAAAAGTGCCACCTCAGAGCAGTTGTCACTCGAAAGCAGCATGAACATGTCATCACTCAATTCAACAAGCAATAGCATTAGCAGAGAGTATCCACAAATCACTCAAAGAGAGAGGCCTATGGAATCATCATCAACAAACACTAGCTACGAATCTTTTGTCTATGGCAGCAATTACAGCCAATCACAAAGCTCGGGAAATGGTGACAGCGTATACGAGCACATGATACCGCCACCTAATCGCCAGCCTGCCAACAAAATTTCCGCAATCTTGCAACAGTCAATGGACAACCTTAATCTCCAGATTCGGACAAAGGAGATCTCACCTTATTCCATGTCTGGATCGAGCGACCATTCAGATATGATGAGTTTCCCTTCAGATGTCTCTTTCGAAATACTCGACCAAGCCCAGAGCTCAGATTCTTCTAGAAGCTCCACTTCCTCACAAGCAGCAGTAAGTTAAAAAGAAAAGCCTTTAATTTTTCATGCATGAAAACTTGATGCACTTTCTTACCATGCAATAATATTCCAGGACATAGAGGAAGAGTTGAGAAGGTTAAAACAAGAATTGAAGCAAATCACAGCAATGTACAATGTCGCCTGTCAAGAAGCTGTCACTGCTAGAGATAAGGTATAATTTAAAAACATTTTTCTTTTTTTGACAAAAAAACTATATTTCTTTTTATTACGTTGAACCAGGTAAAAGGGATTGTTCAGTGGAAATCGGACGAGGGTAACAAGCTCGAAGAGGCTAAGCATGCACAAGAGGCTGCCATGGCTATAGTCGAACGGGAGAAGCTAAAGTGTAAAGCTGCAGTAGAAGTAGCATACAAGGCACAGCGTATAGCAGAACTGGAATCTGAGAAGAGAAAGCGTGCAGAGATGAAGTTCAAACAAGAATCCGAAGAGAAGCAGAAGGCAATCGATGCACTAGCACACAGTGAGATTCGATACAGAAGGTACACTACCCAAGAAATCGAACTCGCCACAAATTACTTCTCCGCTTCGGAGAAGGTCGGTGAAGGAGGATACGGGCCTGTATTCAAAGCCACTCTTGACCACACACCTGTCGCCATTAAAGTTCTTAGACCCGATATGTCACAAGGTGATAAGCAATTCCAAAGAGAGGTAAAAATAGCTTTCTTATATAAATCTCCGGTCTCTCTTTAATTTTTCTTGCAAATATTTTTCCATGAATGGACATATTTTTTCCCGATTTCTTACAGGTGGAGGTGCTCAGCCGAATGAGACATCCACACATGGTTATCCTATTAGGTGCATGCCCTGAGTACGGTTGCCTTGTCTACGAGTACATGGACAACGGCAGTTTAGAGGACAGGCTCTACCGCAAGGAAGGTACAAGCACCTTACCGTGGACCGCTCGTTTTCGAATAGCTGCAGAAATCGCCACTGCCTTAAATTTTCTTCACCGAACAAAGCCTGAGCCGCTTGTGCACCGTGACCTAAAACCTGCAAACATTTTACTGGACAAAAATTACGTGAGCAAGATAAGTGACGTGGGCCTATCGAGACTGGTCCCACCATCTATAGCCGATACAGTAACACAGTACCACATGACATCAGCAGCTGGTACGTTTTGTTACATCGATCCAGAGTACCAACAGACAGGCATGCTTGGGACAAAATCGGACATATATTCTTTAGGTGTAATGCTGCTGCAGATTATTACAGCCAAAAATGCTATGGGTTTGACACATCATATCGAGACAGCGATCGAGAATGGCCGATTTTCTGAGATTCTTGATCCGACGGTGCACGATTGGCCGGTTGAGGATGCTTTGTCTTTGGCGAAATTGGCTTTGAAATGCTGTGAGTTGAGGAGAAGGGACAGGCCGGATCTTGATTCGGAGATATTACCTGAATTGCAACGGCTAAGAGACCTAGGATTACATGCGAAACCCGAGGGGAGATTCTCTTACATGCATTCATCAAGTCGGAGGTTTAACGAGAGCTCGTTCACGAGCCAGATGAATCATAACAGATACAATTACATGAATTCGCAAGTGAGCACGTCTTCTAGTCAGGTGAGTGTAACAATTAATGGAATTTATTTTCCGTACTATAAATTAATGCGCTGATAAACTTCGTGCTTGAACAGGATTCGAGGGACAGCAGTTCTGAAACACAAAAACAGAGCAAGAATCTATCTGGAAGCGGAAGCAGCACAGTTACGACATTAGAAAACTATTTGGATTAGTTGTTTCTTCAAAGGAAAAGGAATCGACAATTTGATGAATGCATGTTTATCTTACCGTTTCTTCAGCCTGAGAGGGCAAACTTTTTCTTTCAGTAATGTATACACTACTAAATTTATGACCCTTTTAACAGGATATTAAAAAAATTCCAACATTGGGATAAGCCGTTCTAAATTATGAAACCATGATTTTTTTTCCTATCCAACTCAAAAGAGAAGCCTGTCATTGTCGGTATAATATAATGTCATTACATAAATCAGGTTCATCGTTTATTTTCTTCGAACATATAATTGTGGAAAAATTTCACAGACACACAAACGATCCCAGAAAATGGTGAAAAAAAAATCCCCATTTTGGGATTGTTAGGAGCCAATAGCAAAATGTTTCTGAAAATAATCTCCAGGCACATTGTTGGCTTACTCGATCCATTAGTATCGAGCATAAAATCACCCTGCAAAAGTTCTTCTTTGGTTATCATTCATAATATATACATGGGGTTACAGGAAATAAACCGCAAGAGAAAATAATGAAACAAAAATGTACCAGTTCATTACGGCATCTTTTTTTGACCAATAGGAATTGAAAGTAAAGTTCTACAAGATGGTGAATTTGCCGAACTTTTGTAAGGAATCTAGGAGCCAACCTTCTTGAAAATGGCACGTATCCAACGCCTAACCATATGCGACAGATTACACAACACCAAGAAAGCCATCATACATTCCTTTATCAGTAAAATGTCAACTTTGAGCAATGAAATAAAGAATGCCAGAACAAGCATTTTGATTTTTACCGTTCAAACGTCATGTTTTGTTGGCGATTATTGACTTGTCTGCAATACGTACTCATATCCACAGTCTCGAATCCAGCTTCACAAAACAAATTCGATAGGAAATCTTCGGAGAAATAAAACGAGCACTGCAATTTAACCAACAATCATTAAAATTTAAATATTTAATAACATCAACAAGTAGCTCAACAAACATGAAAGAAGTAAACCAAATTACTCCTTACAGTGCCATCGCCTCTGTAGTAGAAATTATCGCTGATTATCTGATTTCTGCTCTCCAGCTTCACCTGAAAACTTACACATAGGCCAGGCTAAAAAAATCAACCATCAAGGTAATAAAGTGTTATTTGATTCATTAAATTGGGTTGAATCTATTTTTTTATTGCCATAAATCACACGCTAATGTGTTTCTGCTAACATTTTGGCCAACATTGACAATTCAATTATCCGAGCTTGAAATATAAGAAGGAAGGATTACTTGTGCAGAATCTCCAACAGCATAATCTCTGACTAGAATGTGACCATTTGGCTGTAACGTGACACGATTCACTAATAAATATTAGAGGGGAAAAAAATGTACCACACGAGAATACGATTTGAAAAAAACCAACTGTTGAAAGTAGATAACCTTCAGCACTTTCTTTAGATTCTGTAGCACAAACGGCATCTTATTTGGAGAAACTGCAGACAACATGAAAATCTGCAAATAGATTATTCCATATAATATCCTGAGAGAGTCGTATGTAAAAAAAAAAGAAAAAAAAAAAAAGGGTAATATACAATATAGTGCCCCTGCAACATTTCACTAACCAAGGTAACAACATCAACAGAAGATGGCAGGATTTTGCCACAGAGATCTTCAATTGCGACGTCACAGACAAACGCATTTATCCGATTCCCATTGAATTGTGAATGTGACTGCATTCATTGGGGCATAGAAAAATGTTATATGCATATATAAATGAACTCCTACTCGAAACAACAACTATATGTACGAGAAACCTACTAATCCCCTAAAGCAATAAAGAGAGCAAAACGAACCTTAACAAGAGCTAAAGCCTCGGTTGAAAAATCACAAGCGTGAATAAAAAGCTTCGGATATGCAGCAATAAGAGGAAAGATAGTATTCCCAGCTCCCGAACCAACCTGTCATTCATCGACAAACAACTCATGATAACATCACGACACTTAGCACAAAACTGCAGCCGTATATATACTAATTCACCGTTATTTTGTTTCTACCATATTATATTCAACTTAAATTGCCAGTAAGTATTTGCATTATGAATTGATTAGCAAATGCTTTCAAATATCAGCCCATATATATAAATAAATAAATAATTGCCTCTAAAAGCACTTTCCCACTTGCAGCAATTGCAGCATCATTAGAGTCGGAGAAATATTTGCCCCAATCCTTCTCCAAATAATGCCTGTCCTTAAAAAACTGCAACCAAAAAAACAAACTCACAACTATATGTAAAAAATTAAGGGTTTGATAATTTAGCTAAGAATATGAAGAGAAAAATCCACAAACCTTGCTTTGATGGCGCTTGTAAAACTTATCCCAGTTGTTCATCGACTTTCTAATGTAGTAGTGTTCATTAACATCGTCGAAAATTCGTTTTGTGCAGCTCAATGTTTTGAATCGGCTGGTCGGCGGAATGGGTGACGAGCAGAGCACCGGCGGCAGAGTGATGGCGGCCGTCATATTCGGCGGCTATGGCAGCAGTAGGCTTGAAGCGACTATCGACATTGCCTTGGACGGAATGGATGGAATTAACGATTACCACACTATTGAGGCTAAACTGGAAACTATATGGGACTAATTTGCAATAAAGTAATAGATTGAGGAGCTATGAGCAATAGCCCCCAAAGCAAGTAAAATGAAAAGACTTTAAAAATGCCACGTGGAATGTCATTTTGACCAGTACGACGTCGTCTTGCTATATAAACCAGAGGAAACAGCGAATATCCAGCTGCTTCGAACCGGACCGGTTCGATTTCTTTATACCCTTCTTCTCAGAGGTCACCGCCGCAGTTTAACCTAGAGAATCCCCTTTCTCTCTCCTCTCTCTTCTCTCTCTCTCATCGCCGTGAGACGCCGTCGATAATTCGGATTCCTGGATGGCGTATCAACCTAAAGATCCGAATCAAAGCAACGATGAAAGCAGCTCAAATCGCCGACTTTACAACCCGTACCAGGATTTGCACCTCCCGGCGAAGACCCTGTACAATCTCCCCACCTCGCCGGAGTTTCTCTTCCAGGAGGAAGCCGTCGCGCAGCGCCGCTCGTGGGGGGAGAATCTGACCTACTACACCGGCATCGGCTACCTCGCGGGGGCGACGGCCGGCGCCGCCAAGGGTTTCGGATCCGGAGTCAAAGCCATCGAGCGAACCGACACCACGAAGCTCAAAATCAACAGGATCCTGAACGGCTCCGGCCACGCCGGCCGGCAGATCGGAAACCGGTGCGGCGTCATCGGGCTGATGTACGCCGGACTCGAGAGCGGCATGGTCGCGTTCAGGGAAACGGATGACGTCATCAACAGCGTCGTGGCGGGGCTGGCCACCGGAGCGCTCTACAAGGCGGCGGCGGGGCCGAGGTCCGCCGCCGTGGCCGGAGCGATCGGAGGCGTGCTTGTGGGACTCGCCGTCACCGGAAAACAAGCTCTGAAACGATACGTTCCGATTTGAGCAGTTAAATTTCTTTCTTCAATCCCTTCAATCAAATGCTATATTATATGTTTTAAGAATCAATTTTTGATAATCATGGAGCTATTAAAATTTGGCACTGGAATTTCAAATTTGTAGTTTGCAGGTAATGGAAGGATCATACTCCTCATTGATGATAGTATATATAATATATAATACTAGTAGTCTAGTATCAGTAATTCTTGAATGGTTTATGATTGTAATTTATGTAGCTGATTGAGACATGGCTTCTTGAATAAAATCCAGGAAAAACATTGCTAGCCCTTGATTTCTCGATTGTTCGATTGAGAAATAAGTTATTATATTTTGTTTTCGATTGTCGTATGCCTGCGTATTTGTATATTTAGAGTGAGAAAATGCTGCTAATCTGTATTGTTTTAGATAGCTGATAATTGTTATTGACCTGCATTGCTTCATTATCTGTGTTTTCTATGATGCTCTGTGGATTATTATTAGCTTTGGCAAATCTTGTTACCTGTGTGATTACTAAGCTGAGAGAGAGAGAGAGAGAGAGAGAGAGAGAGAGAGAGAGAGAGAGAGAGAGAGAGAGAGAGACTAGAATGCCTTACTCTGATGCCTCTTTCTCTGACGGCCATGCGACCGCAGCGCTTTTCATTTAAACGACAATGGTTCGATTGTTTTGGCTCACAACACCATGAGCCACGTCTACATGGATCCAATTGTTTTGATGAAGCTATCGCATTCGGGAAGCCTGCTCTTTTTTAGCCCATGCAAAGATCCGTGAGGCAATCGTCGAATCAGATTGCCTCAATGCTATTTATTTTATTATTACTATTCGATATGTAATACTTACGGCCTCGTACTTTTAAAAAATACACTCACCCCCTTAATTTAACGGTAAACATAAAAAATGTACACATTTACAGTATAACGTCGTTAAATTAATAATCTCCTCGTTTAAATAATAGTTTATTCCGTTCCGACTCGATAAAAACCTATTAAATTATTAGTTCAATAATTTATTATTTCGTTAAATTAATAGAATTTTATTAGTAGATTAATTTATAAAGGTTTAAGTGTAATTGTGATTGTATAGTAAATTAGTAGAGTGTGTGCAGCGAATTTGGCTGATTGTATTTTGCTGATACCTTGTTCTTTTTCTTTTTTAATCAAATTTTTTTTTGGGAAGACTTTTAATTTTTGGGCAAATTATGTCCACCATTGAGTTATAGCTAAATTACGAAAATCTCTTCTTGTTTGTGTGTAATTATAGTAAAATTTTGGGTACGCCAACATTTCATACCGTTTACCAAATCGAATATACGATTTGATTCGATAAATAATCGAATTATATAAATTTTATATAAAAATATTTTAAAAAATAGGTGATTGTGATTACCCAAACAAGAGATATTTTTTCGTAATTCGGTGATTTGCCTGGGGGCAACCGTAATTTGACTTTAATTTTTTAACAGAATTTAAGAAAAAGAAACACAGACAAAAACAAAATGCGCACCCACCTGTAACCCGCTTGCCCTTTTCGGGTTTACAAAAGCCAACTCCAACATTCCACAAATTTGGTCTCAATCTCGTGAAGAACAGGGAATTCTGCAATGGCGTACGCTGCTCGAATCTTCAATCACTCTAAAAAGGTAGTAATTTATATTGAGTGTTCTCATTATTATTACCAATTGTTTGGGGAATCGATGCTCTTTTATTCTGATTACAGTTTTGCATTTTGATGAATCATTCCGATCTGCCCGATTTTTTTTTTCTGTTTCTAATGATCATGGAGCTCAATCTGTAACGATTCTCTATGTGTACATAATCCTATCGGTCGTTTGCTGAATTTATGCTTTATTTTGGTTTAGAATTGTTGCAACATAATCTGTTCCAGAAGTATTCGTTTTGTTGGGGATCGTTTGTCGTTTGTTGGTGTTGTTTCGCAGAATTGAATTGGGGGGAGCCAGTAAGTAGTATCAATCGAGCTTTTGTGCGATACGAAATGCTTAAACCCCAGATGCATGTTTCATCTAGTTTAGTGGTGGTCTTCTTAGAGAGTATCTTGATGTAGTGGTAGTTTAGTTTAGTTGGAAGCCTATACAATATGTTGGAAGTTTTAGTTTTATGAAATGTGCTATCTGCATTTCGGAATTTATATGGTCGTACCTGGAATAAGAACGAAGAATTATTGAACACTTTGTTTTTTAATTTTACACGATGGTGGTGGGATTGGTGTGATGAATAGTACGTGACTGTACATAATACTTTCTTTCTTCTTACAGCTCCGACAGACCCATAATGTTTTACGAGATCGTGCCATTTCCTTACGGTGGTTTACGACTGATGCTGGGCCTTCGGTTGATAAGATAGATGGTAAGTTATTTCAGTGGTATTGTTTTTATAACATCTGTCTCTCTCTCTCTCTTTTTTGTTGCCTGTTGAGGTTATCTTTTGTGCCTAATAGTGATGAAGCATATGCTGCAATTTGAGCTACCTAATAGGTTTAGCCCTCAGCTTGAATAGTCATTCGGGATAGTTAGTCTATGTAGTGCCCGCCCGAAACTTTTTATCTAAACTTTGCACTCACCGCACAAGTAGATGTCCTTATGTATTAGGTGCATATGTATGCTTTCCAACTTGCTAATTGACTGAAGTGTCTATTGTGGTACAGGTATTTCGAGGCCCAGGCCACTTGGTATTGTACCTGGAGACAAGAATGGCTTTACTCCCAGTCACCAATCAATAAACGGAAGCACGGTGATTATATTTCCTGGACCCTTGTCTTTTCTCGGTTTCTGGTGTTATTTGAGTATATGCATTTAGCTGGTATATGTATTAAGAACTTGAAATTTTGAATTATGTAATGAAGATATCAGCTGTAAGAATGAACAAAGGAAATGGTTTTTGGGAAGCGAGGAAAGTTCATGCGCCCGCCATAGGCATGCTGTACAAAAGGTTCGCTCGATCTCTCAACCATATAACTTTTGTTGAATATGTATTTTTCTCACCGGCCTGTTATTAATGTTCGCAGTCAACCACAAAACTCTGTTAGAAGCTTTTCAACAAATACAGGTTAGTTTGTTACAGGTATCCTGCCAGTAAATTATTGTTCAACTCCGAGTCTTGATACTTTTTTTAATGTTTTAAGTTGTCTGGTGTGGGAAGGTTACGAGTCAGATTTAGTGGCTCACCATCGTTGTAATTACATGTACAGCGATAAAGTAAATCCAATTCACTTCTTCCACAGATGGAAGTTATTACTAATTATAGTACTGAAAAATATTCTCATTTTCTACTGTTCTTTCCAGGATGTTCGATAATTTCATTTTTATATTTTCGACATTTTTAGATGTTTTGAAGAATGGGGGTGGGGATGGCATATTTTCTCTACTTTTGTTGACTCGTATCAATATATCGCTAAACATGTTGCCGTCTTTCAGGTTTTCCACCACACCAAGAGATTGGGATGCCTTCTTTATCACCTACAATGATGGAGGCATGTGTCTTTCTGTAGTCATTCAAATCATTTCGTTATTGTGTATCCATAACTATCATACTAAGTGCGTTTTTTTCTCCAATTCCCCTCATACTAAGTGTTTGCTGTTGTCATGAATGTAGGGTAATATTGCAAGGTGGTTGAAGAAAGAGGGTGACAAAGTTACTCCTGGAGAAGTACTTTGTGAAGTGGAAACTGTGTGTTCTTTTGGTTATCTCTTTAGCCTTCTCTTAAGTTCTAACTGTATGTAATTCTATGCTGTCTTGTAAGTCTGATTTCCATTTTTGCATTCTTAAGGACAAAGCAACTGTGGAAATGGAATGCATGGAGGAAGGATATCTGGCAAAAATTTTGTGCGGGGATGGTTCTAGTGGGATTAAAGTTGGTGAGGTATTTATCTGAAGTACATGGTTTATTGTTCACACTTTCTCTCTCATATTCAAAGTGTTTTCTCTCGACATATGTATAATAGGAAATACAGAATCAGATCATCACTTGATTGAAGGTTTTAAAATCGATACTTAAATCCTATCCTATTATGGTGCTGATGACTTCTAAGGCCCTTATTTGATTTGATAATCTTTGCTTTGTTGCTTGTTATCGTTAAACTTGGATCATCTGATTTCAGATGGTTCAGTTCGGAATTTTCTTTTTTAAGAGATGAACATAAATTTCATGTATTCTCGTTTTATCGTGTGGTTCTATTTACACAAGTCAAAATTGAGTGCGTAGTGTCAATATTACATCCACAGTTCAAGAAAGAATCTGCTGACAACCATAAGAAAGTGGCTAATTTTAAAAGCAAAAACAGAATATTCAACAGGCTACAAAAACTGTTCGAAACATTGAATTACAGCCTTTTTTTTTAGTGACTGATTGAAGTATTTGACTAGGTAATTGCCATAACTGTTGAGGAAGAGGAGGATATTGCCAAGTTTAAGGATTACACTCCTTCAACATCAGATGCTGCACCCGCACCTGAAGCTCCGTCTGCTCCAACTCCACCAAAGCAAGAAGTTTCAGAAGTGCCTGTTACTTCTGCAGAGCCAAAAGCTTCCAAGCCTAGTACACCGTCTTCAGGAGATCGTGTTGTTGCTAGTCCTCTTGCTAAGAAACTTGCAGAAGATCACAACGTAAATTTTAGATGTTTTTATCTATTTTAATTTCATGTTACATGTATGTTGAAACTCATGTGTTTTCATGTGATACCGTTGCATTTCATTAATTCAGGTATCTCTTTCAAGCATCAAAGGAACTGGCCCTGATGGGCGTGTTGTGAAGGCTGATATTGAAGATTATCTTGGTAGTTCTTCGCTATTTGAATTGTTTCTCTATATTCGTGTATGTTAGATCTGCTTGTTTTGTAGAGCTCCCTTTTATTTTAAAACAATCATCAGTTAATCTGTTTTAATTCTCTCTTCTGTAGCTTCGCATAGTAAGGAAGTTCTAAAAGCTCCTAAAGTTGACTCCACAACCTCTTCTCCTCTAGATTACACTGACATCCCTCATTCACAAATTAGAAAGGTAACTCGCATTGATAGTTTAACATACTAATAATTGCAAGAGTATTTTTAGAATATTATTCTGAATAACATGCTTATCCACTAGTGTTGGAGTGCTGGTGGCTAAATAATAAATATGTCGAGACAAAAAAGGAATGCTAAACCAGATCCACTTTTAACGTCTCAATTGTCATCGTTCGTTCTTTATAGTAGCTAAAATATGTTACCATCTGTGGCAGGTGACAGCATCACGGTTGTTGCAATCAAAACAAACCATCCCACACTATTACCTAACTGTGGATACATGTGTTGACAAGCTTATGGAGTGAGTCTCAAATATTCTGGAAATGGGAATAACCTACCGTCGGATCTGCCTTAATTTATACATTTTTCTTCTGCAGATTGCGTAGCCAGCTGAATGCATTGCAAGAGGCTTCGGGTGGGAAAAGGATTTCTGTTAATGATCTGGTTATTAAGGTATGGGTGACATTTAGCTCATTTGATTTTCATACGCATAATTGAGTTTCGCCACATTCAATTAATTTAACAACTATTAACTGCAGGCCGCTGCTTTGGCTCTTAGAAAAGTTCCTCAGTGTAACAGTTCATGGACAAATGACTACATTCGACAGTAAGTATACTCGACAAACAATGAGCTATTTAGTTAGCAATTCTTCTATCTGCAAAATCTTATGTGTCTTGCTGTATACCGTACAGGTATCAGAATGTGAATATTAACATAGCTGTGCAAACGGACAATGGATTGTACGTACCTGTAATAAGGGTAAGTCATTTTTCTGTGATATATGCAAGTCATATATGATCACTCTTTCACCTCGGAAGTATTATAATTTAACGACTATTTAACCAAAAAAAAATACAGGATGCTGACAAGAAAGGTTTATCAAAGATTTCTGAAGAAGTCAAGTATTTTGCTCAGAAAGCAAAAGAAAACACATTAAAACCAGCAGATTACGAGGTGAAACAAAAAAAAAAAAACGTCATTAGTATCCAATATAGAATAACTGGTAGCTCGTTATACGAATTCTTAAAATATCCTCTTTTGCAGGATGGTACATTTACAGTATCAAACTTAGGAGGGCCTTTTGGCATCAAGCAATTCTGCGCCATCATCAATCCACCACAGTCAGGCATTTTAGCAGTTGGCTCCGGTAAGTCGAGTTTTTTTAACTCCTCGACATTCATATAATTCTTTTTTTTTTTTTTGTTGTAATAACTCTCACTTTAAAATATTTACGAGCAGCTGAGAAGAGAGTAATACCTGGTATCGGTCCCGACCAGTTTAAGTTTGCTTCATTCATGCCTGCAACACTAAGCTGTGATCATCGTGTAATTGATGGTACTTTCCCCTATCTTGCATACGTGGATTAAGATTAAACCATCGCTAATTTAAACCGTAATCTAATATTTATATGTCAATGTTGTGTTTAGGTGCCATTGGAGCAGAATGGTTAAAGGCCTTCAAAGGTTACATAGAGAATCCAGAGACAATGTTGCTTTAAAATTAGTTTTTTACAGCTTTCTCTCTCTAAAAATTCTTGTGCTGTGATGACAAATGCAATCACAGATGTTCTTTTTTTCCAAACTTGTATGTAATAATGTTCATTCTCAGAGGAACTATTCTAGGAGGGTAACATATTCTTTGAATAATCGGTGTCGGTTTTCCGAGGCAAATAATTTTCCATTTTTGCTCGTCTCCGTGTCTCGAGTGCCAATTGCGAGTAATTTATTACATATTCTGGATTTAAGTAGATATACTTGAAATATTATTTATATACAATAAAGTAAACCATCAAATGTTAAACCAAATGTGTTTGATTTAAAGAAAAACATGTATTCGCAATATATACAGTTAAACCTCTATAAATTAATACAGTTGGGACTAGTGAAATTCGATTAATTCAGCAAATTATTAAATTCTTGAGATAATAATTTAACACGTTTTTACCGAGTCAGGATTGAGAGAAACTATTATTTAATCGAGGTTCTACTGTAATAACTTTAGCAAGTAACTTACCGATTTTGCCCTTATCTAATGAAAAATGTTTTCCACCTTAACCAATCTTCCGTCAATAGTTAACCTATTTTGCCCTTATCTAATGAAAAATGTTTTCCACCTTAACCAATCTTCCGTCAATAGTTAACGGAAAGTGTCAACGAAGGATGATTATGATATGAATTTGGAAGATGGGGACTAAATTTGTAAATTTAAGAAAAGAGAGGACTATATTGAAACGATACTTAAATACGAGGGACTGGTAAAGGATTTGGGCTATATAAATTTTCAATTTCTCATTGCATTCAAAAAGTGCGGGTAGATCCTTCCCAAATCACTAAACCCTCGTCACCTCATAGCGCTCACTTGCACCGACGAAGGATTGCACCGGCGAAGGATGGCGGAGGCGGAGAAGGAAGATACTCTCATGACGGAGGCGGAGAAGGAAGATACTCTCATGGAGGCGGCGGAGAAGGAAGATACTCTCATGACGGAGGTGACTATTTCTTCCTCATTTTTCCTTGTTTTTCTGTATGATTTGGGGAACTCATTTTGGTAAAACTTTTGTTCGGACGATCAAATTTTGTTCGATCCATAATTTCGACGATCTGTCAAAAAATCGTTTGTTGAATTGATGCACATACTAGAGAGATACGCTTGGAATCTGTATATAGGTGCATATACGGTTTTTGCAAGAGCAATTATGTATTATATGCTTCTTCTTTTGCATGAATATTCACTGGATCGACACATTAGACTGATTAATTTTGTAATGTTGTTATTTTTAACAGTTTAGTAGCTGAACGTATGCTGCCTTTTATTCGTATGAATTATTGATTCTTCATTCTGTGGTTTATTATCTAATCTGGGCAAATGGCAGAACATGTGTGCTACTGCTAACTATGGGCAAGGCTCGAGTGGTAGCTCTGTGCCTCTCAAAGAAAAAGCAGCTGTGTTTGGTGAAGTGGTACCTGAAAGTCAAACTGTGATAGGGTATTTTTGCTCTTTCAATATTTCAGTGATTTACATATCTTGTTTTATCGATTTGCTAGTGTATATCTAGTTATTAGCAGGTTCGCCCTTTAGTAAACACACTATTCTACATTTATCTATTGAATTTTTTGTTTCTCAGATACAAGGCAATGATACTTGAAGCACTTTCATACTTGGATAAGCACAATGGCGCTGATTTTGATACACTTGTCGATTATGTTGAGGTAAGATGGTATCCCATTCTCCCTCTACCAGACTTATTTGTGTGCAATAGAATGGATCTATTAGTTTATGAAGTTAACTTAGAGCTATTTGGTTAAATCGAGTAATTGGGATCGCTTGTTAGATCAGTTTGAGAGTGTTAGTTTATTCATTCGAGAGTGATTCGCAGATGTTTGTGGAGGCATAGGTAAACATATTTTAGGCATCAAACCAAAAAAACCTCTCTTAGTGTTCCACAGCTCCTGATGCACAGCTCCTGTCCTATAACTGGATTTTGGACCAAGTTTACATAGGCTCTTAAGAGTTTATATCTCCTTTTCTTTTGCCGTGTATTCAGTTTTAATGTAATTAAATGATCCATCATTGGAGCGACAACAAAAACTTGTGAAGGTTATATGCATTTCACTAAAACTGATTTTGGAAAATAACATTGGTAAACCTTGAAAGAATATGTATGTTCATGAAATTGAACTTCAGTTAGAACTTGTTTTCAGTTGCGTTTCAGTTTGAAATTGGCTCCCAGCTAAAGGGCCTAGTTGGTGGTTAACTGACCTTACTCTGGGTTTTGGACTAACGTGATTCCACAATTCTGCATGTATTGTCTAATTCAATTTCTTTTGTTTGACAGACCAAGTATGGCACCCTGGAAAACCTCCGAGAGCTGTTGAGCTCAGAGCTGAATGAACTCATTTTGCAAAGCAAAATTGAGCAGGTATGTGAAAGCTAAAATAGGACTACAGTAATAGATAACCAACATATAGAATAAGATAATCACACTTTTCCATTGCTAATTGTACATCGAAGTCTAATTTTATAACAAAGTATTGTTCGCACAACATGGTACAGGTTGCACACGTGTACCGGATTAAAGTCAATGTTGGCACACAAACTCCTGTCACTAAAAGGAAGGATGTTATGCAGCGTAAATTGCAGGATGCGGCTGAAGAAGCTGCCCGGCTAATAGCCGAGGCAGAAACCAAAGAGAAGGAGGCAGAAAACGCAGTTAGATACGCAGAAATGCTCTCACAAGTGGCTGATGATGCAAGTGTAACTGTCAGAGTTTTCGAAGAGCTTCTTGCAGAATGTAAGTCGTGCTTCCCTACTCACTCTGTTTCTTCTTAGGTGGCATAATTAATTATTTTTTTCCAACTTTACCCCAACATTAATGATAAATTAATGGAATGAGAAAGGAAAGATCACAATCCACATAACTTGGTCAAATAAGGACTTTTTTCCCCACAAATCAAGACTATTTAATAATTTTCTTAATTAGTATGCATTTACCTTAAACGACGCTTCAAAAGAAACGAAGCGAGTACCTTTTATGTCCTTTGTCATTTCAGTCTTGATTTACCTTTAATCTGTTTCTTCGTTTGTGATTTTTTCTTTATCAGATCCTCAAGATGACTAAATCGGCATGCAGATGTTCGGTATATGGTAGAGTTGTTAATATTCTTCGATATAATAGAGTTGATCATTTCATGGTACAAATCCAGCTACTATTTCTTCAAGTTTCATATCTTTTTTTCCGTGCGTGGCGGCACCTACTCATATTATTAGTGTTTTCATTTGCTTAACACTTAGTTAACCAAAGTAAGCAGGTTCTAATAGCTTTACTTGCTTACGGGCAATATTGACTTTTCTTCGATACGTTCAAAGATAAAATGTACGTGGCACCATCTCATATTATCAGTTTTCTCGTTTGTTTAACACGTTGTTCACCAAAGTAAGCAGGTTCGAATAGCTTTACTTGCTTACTGGCAGTATTTGACTTTTCTTCGAGATGTTCAAAGATTAAATTTACGTCACTGGTGTTTAGATCCATATCTGTTATATGCAACGCTGGGTCTTGTATAACTAAAAATCAACGATTCTTGACGAAAAATGATATTGTTGTTCTTGGTAAAGGAAAAAATTAATTTAAATCTACTGTATGATTCCAAGTATTAGGGATGTGAGGTAAAAATAGGAGTGTGAACGAGCCGAGCTCGCCTGTTTTGACAGGCTGCGGCTCGATTAAATAGGGACAGAGGGAGTAAAAGTTTCGCACTTTCCACCCCGATAATAGCATTTTACACCCTCGAAAGTTGAAACACAATAAATAATCACATAGAGCACCATGAATTGAATTTTTAAAACTTAAAGAAGCTAACTTCATATTTATTGCTTTTTTTTTCTTTTTCAAAATACAAAATACCCAATTAAATTGTTATTTTATTCTAACCTCAACCTAATTTGAGGGTACAAAGTGCGAGAAAAAAATATCTCATCAAGTTACTTCAAAACTATATTTTCTTTTCTTCAAAACTATAATTATTAAAAACTAGAAGAACATTCAATGTTGTCAATTATGGTTCAAAATTCAAAATAAATAAGGATGCGTCTCTATCATAATATAAGAAAATTAATTCTAGGGGAACAAATATTCTTCTTCACATCCATTGCCCAACGTTTCGCTTTGAGACTCATGCGATGATTAATCAACCATGGAATCGTACCTTCACTTGCTGCAACACTATCTATCAGCGGATGAAAACGATAATAACCAATCGGTGTATCGAACAAAACCTTCTCAACTAGTGGGGCCACGTTAAATAGTCTCTGAATGAATGGTGTTTCACGTGATAATCCAATAAACCCAACCAATTCAATCACCTTTAGATTGTTGTGTGTAAAACATTTAGCATCTTCTGGGGTTACTTCAGGAAATGGTGTCCTCTGTACAAACTGTCAAAGACGAATTAACAAATTAATGACTAATAAAAGAAATACTAAACAAACAAACAAGTTACGAAAAAAAAAAGTTAAAATCTGTGTACCGGAATTGATCCTGGAAGGTGGCGGTCGAATAGTAAGTAGACTAACTGTGACAGTATGAATAAACATGCACATAAGAACATTAGAACCGGGAAAACAAATAACCTGGCATATACATAGTTGATAATTTAGAACATATAAATTTTTCAATATTTAGAGCAAAAACTAGTCGATGCATCACCAAATATACGAGTCCCTTTAACAACTATCCTTTTTTGTAAGTCACCTTGATTTTAAGCTCATCGGTTAAAAAGTTGGAAAATTCACCTTGATTTTAAGCTCATGTAAGTTAGGAGATGCCTTGATCAATGACAAGAAGAAGAGAAAGCTTTCGCCAATTTTCGTCACAGTATTCAATTCAAGCCGCTTGAGAGAGTCTAATTGAGGCAAATCACAAGGAACATTTGTTCTTTCAGAAGTCTGACAAAAAGCATTTGGACATGAAAGTGTTAATGACTTATACGACAGAGAGATACAAGAAAGACAGAGAGATACGAGAAAGAGAGAGAATGCTCCACCACCTACCAATGTTTTCAGATTCAATACAAGCTTCACCAGTTGAGCTGAATAACTCGAGTGTTTGTTAGGTTCAAAAATGAAGGAATGACAAAACTCCCCACCAAGTGTTAGCTCCGTTAGATTTGGGGTTTTCTTGAAAGGCGAACTGATTTCCTTTCCTTGATAAGTACACGAGACAAGATTCTTAGCAGATATCTCCAAACTTTCGAGGTTGCAACAGTCCGAAATTTCCAATTCCTTCAAGTTTGCTAATGGATCAACAACTTCAAGATTCTTCGTTGCATTAGAGGCCCTAATGCATAAATGTTCGACACAAGTACAAGAAGCTAACAAATACTTAACCACCTCATCATCTATATCAACATCGACCAATCTAAGCGATCTTAGTGAGCCAAAAACAGGGGACTTGACCTTAAGCTCGCGCGAACGTGATAACAACTTCTCAATGTTGGGAAACTTATAACCGCAATGGAAACCATCCTCAACCGATAAATTCAGTTCAAACACTTTTACTTCCTTCTTCACGGCGAAGTATATCCAACTATCGATGTCACTAGACAAATATCTTAAACGTAAATTAGTAAAACGAATAACTAGGCTATCAACTCTTTGACCCCGATGCAACTTCAGGATATGTTTTACCCAGGTTTTGAACTTTTTCCTTTTAATTACAATTCCTGATCTTTCATCAGCATCATCCAATAGAGTAATATCCCTATCATACCTATCGTCAAATTCCAATTTCCCAGATGTATACATCCATAAATATCTCCACCTACGAGAGAGAACACTAGTCCTCACAGCATCCTTAAGGCTCATACGAGACAGAATATGAATAAGCATATCTTCGGGCAAATCACCAATCTTAACCGTAGCAGCAGCATTTTGTTTTTCTTCCTCCTCCTGCATAATCGCAATTGTTTACTATGACACAATATAAGTAAATAAATAAATAAACAAATGCTGATAAAAAGAATCCGATTGCAAACCTCATGTTCCAACTTTCGTTTCCGCGGGTTTTGTTGTCTATCTAAACCGGCCTTAAGATTGTTCATCTCCATCTCTCACAAGTCTTGGTGAACTAATGTGCTGGCAAGTGGCAAAGGCTGCAGCTTTATCACTGTTCAACTACTGATTTGTTAAAAGTTAAAACCAAAAAAAATCAATGCTTCATAATCAATCATAAACAACAAGAGAAAAGTTTACCGGAATTGATATATTAACAGGATTCTGAAATAGCGACGAGTAAGCTTAATTGGATTTTAGGGCTGGTGCACAAAGAAGAACTGTACTCCGATTCCAATTCTAGGGCTCCAATTGAATGGTGCTCAAAGACTCAAACTTTGGAATAGAATTCTAAATCGAACTATACTCCGATTCTAAAATAGCTCGATCCGATTCTAAAATAGCTCGATGTCTCCAACTGAATGGTGCTCTCAAAGACTCTAATAGCATTCTGAACGGTGATTTCTTTTCCTTCCAAAATCGGATTTTATTTATTTACTTTTTGCAATAAGCAAAATATAGCTTTTTTTTTTTTTTTTGTCTTTTTTGTTTTTTTTTTTTATTTTATTTTTTATAATAACCAATTACCTATCACCTATAATATAAAGCATAACTTACAGCACCCCTGAAATATGTTACAATAACTGTAAGGGTTCAAAGACGTGTAAGGAGAACAACACCAGCAGTAAACCCACCAGTTGGGTTTCCCAGAATTTGCCAGTGCATTGATGTTTTCGTTTTCGGTTTCGGAAGGTAAGATGTTGTCGACAGAGGAAATGTTGTTGTAAGATGGCGTATCTTTTTCAACCTTTCTTGGGAGGCTTGGTCTGACATTCATTAAAAGAACAACATACATTACATTTCGACATTCTAACACAAGTCGAAACACAATAAATAATCACATAGAGCACCATGAATTGAATTTTTTTAAAACTTAATGAGGCAACTTCATTTTTATCACAAATGAGGGTACAAAGAAGTGCGAGAAAAAAAAATCTCATCAAGTTACCACAAAACTATATTTTATCACAAAAAATAAAAAATAAAAATAATAATAATAATAACAATAAATTATCAAAAACTAGATGAACATTGAATATTGTCGATTACGGATCAAAATTCAAAATAAATAAGGATGCGTCTCTATCATAATATAACAAAATTAATTCTAGGGGAACAAATATTCTTCTTCACATCCATTGCCCAACGTTTCGCGTTGTGACTCGCGCAAGGATTAATCAGCCATGGAATCGTACCTTCACTTGCTGCAACACTATCTATCAGCGGGTGAAAACGATAATAACCAATCGGTGTATCGAACAAGACCTTCTCAACTAGTGGGGCCACGTTAAATAGTCTCTGAATGAACGGTGTTTCAGTTGCTAATCCAATAAACCCAACCAATTCAATCACCTTAAGATTGTTGTGAGTAAAACATTTAGCATTTTCTGGGGTTACTTCAGGAAATGGCGTCCTTTGTACAAACTGTCAAACACGAAGTGACAGATTAATTACTAATAAAAGAAAGATTAAACAAACAACCACGTTAGGAAAAAAGAAGTTAAAATCTGTGTACCCGAATTGATCCTGGAAGCCGGAAATCGAGTAGTAAGTAGACTAACTGTGAAAGTAAGAATAAACATGCACATTATAACGTTAGAACCGGGAAAACAAATAACCTGGCATATAGTTCATAATTTAGAACATATAAATTTTGCAGTATTTAGAGCATAAACTAGTCGAGGCATCACCAAATATACAAGTCCCTTAAATAACTATCCTTTTTTGTAGTCACCTTGATTTTAAATGGATTTTAAAACTCAATGGGTAAAAAGTTGGAAAATTCACCTTGATTTTAAATTCATGTAAGTTAGGAGATGCCTTGATCAATGATAAGAAGAAGAGAAAGCTTTCGTCAGTTTTCGTCACAGTATTCAATTCCAGCCGTTTGAGAGAGTCTAATTGGGGCAAATCACAAGGAACATTTGTTCTTTCAGGAGCCTGACAAAAAGCATTGGGACATGAAAGTGTTAATGACTTACATATGAGAGAGATACAAGAAAGAGAGAGAATGCTCCACCACCTACCATTGTTTTCAGATTCAATACAAGCTTCACCAATTGAGCTGAATAACTCGAGTGTTTATTAGGTTCAAAAATGAAGGAATGACAAAACTCCCCACCAAGTGTTAACTCGGTTAGATTTGGAGTTTTCTTGAAAGGCGATCTGATTTTTTTTCCTTGATATGTACACGAGACAAGATTATTAGCAGATATATCTAAACTTTCGAGGTTGCAACAATCCGATATTTCCAATTCCTTCAAGTTTGGTAATGGATCAACAACTTCAAGATTCTTCGTTGTATTAGAGGCCCTTATGCATAAATATTCGACACAAGGGCAAGAAGCTAACAAATACTTAACCACCTCATCCTCTATATCAACATCGACCAACCTAAGCGATCTTAGTGAGCCAAAAACAGGTGACTTAACCTTGACCTCGCGGGAACGTAACTTATCAATATTAGGAAACTTATAACTACAATGGAAACCATCTTCAACCGACAAATTCAATTCAAACAGTTTTACTTCCTTCTCCACGGCGAAGTATATCCAACTATCAATGTCACTAGACAGATATCTTAAACGTAAATTAGTAAAACGAATAACTAGGCTATCAACTCTTTGACCCCGATGCAACTTCAGGATATGTTTTACCCAGGTTTTAAACTTTTTCCTTTTAATTACAATTCCCGATCTCTCATCAGCATCATCCAATAGAGTAATATTCCTATCATACCGATCGTCAAATTCCAATTTCTGAGATATATACATCCATAAATATCTCCACCTACGAGAGAGAACACTAGTCCTCACAGCATCCTTAATGCTCATACGAGACAGAATATGAATAAGAATATCTTCGGGCAAATCATCAATCTTAACAGTAGCAGCAGCATTTTGTTTCTTAGTAAGCAAAGCATCAGTTTCTTCCTCCTCCTGCAAAATCGCAATCGTTTACTATGACACAATATAAGTAAATAAATAAATAAACAAATGCGGATAAAAAGAATCGGATTGCAAACCTCATGTTCCACCTTTCGTTTTCGTGGGTTTTGTTGTCTATCTAAATCGGCCTTATGCTTCTTCATCTCCAGCACTCACAAGTCTTGCTGAACTAATGTGGTGGCAACTGGCAAAGGCTGCAGCTTTATCACTGTTCAACTACTGATTTGTTAAAACCAACAAAATACAAATAAATAAAAAAATCAATGCTTCATAATCATAAACAAGAGAAAAGTTTACCGGAATTGATATTAACAGGATTTTGAAATAGCGACGAGTAAGCTCAATTGGATTTTAGGGGCTGGTGCTCAAAGAAGAACTGTACTCCGATTCCAATTCTAGGGCTCCAATTGAATGGTGCTTAAAGACTCAAACTTTGGCATAGAATTCTTAATCGATCAAGGAAAGAACTGTACTCCGATTCTAAAATAGCTCAATCAGAGAGAAGAACTGTACTCCGATTCTAAAATAGCTCGATCAGAGAGAAGAATTGTACTCGATCCCAATTCTAGGGCTCCAACTGAATGGTGCTCTCAAAGACTCCAACTTTGACATTACTAAGTTAATTGGATTCTGACCGGTGATTTTTTCCTTCCAAAATCGGATTTTATTTATTTATTATTGGAATAAGCAAAATATACACTTAAACCTCTATTACCGAGTTAATTTGCTTCCAAAATCGGATTTTATTAATTTATTTATAATCGGAATTAGCAAAATATACACTTAAACCTCCATTATCGAATTAATAATTTAACAAGGGATGCAAGGGATGGGGAGAAACTAAAATATACAGTAGAACCTCTATTATCGAATTAATAATTTAACAAGTTTTCACCGGAACCGGGAGAAACTAAAATATACAGTTGAACCTCTATTATCGAATTAATAATTTAACAAGTTTTCACCAAGACCTGAAGAAATTATTATTTAATCGAAATTATTAATATATCGAGTATTAATTTATGAAGGTTCTACTGCAGATTTTTTTTTTTAATAATAACCAATTACCTATCATCTATAATATAAAGCGTAAAATACACCTGCACTCTTGAGATATTCGATAATTACTATCACCTGCACTAATGAGATACACTCTTTGAGATATTCGGTAATTACTATCACCTGCACTAATGAGATATGCTAAAATAACTGTAAGATCCACATGGTATCTGTAATTACTATCACCGCTGAAACATTGTCTGAGTCCCTTAACACATTTCACTTAAAAAGAGAAATGCTAGAAAAGATAAATAATTAACGAAAAACAAAAGCCGCTTCCGATATTAATCTAACAACAGTATGACACTTTCAAGACAACACAAGATAAGATAAAAGAAAAAGGTGCCGGAAAAAGTTCGATGCAAAGTTAAGCCAAAAAATTCATCCAATTTCTTGGTTTCGAACCAATTCTAAACACTAAACCAAATAAGCAAAGTTTAGATAAGGATAGATTTCTCATGAAGTAAGAAAGAGCTCCAAATAATTATAAGAGTACAAGCCCAAGCTCCGATGCTCGCAAAACGTGCTTCAACCGATAGTTGTAGAGATAGTAGTGAAGCTTCCCATCACCCGGCCCAAATTTCAGCTCCTTCAAGAAAGTCTCGTTCTGCATTACATCCAACGCATTGAAAACATCGAAATCCTTCTTCTTAGCAACAACTAGAGCATCGTTCATCAGTTGAAGCAAAGGGGTCTTGGTCGAAACATTATAATAAGAATAAGCAGCCTTCAAAATCGAGTGGCTTTGGCTACCAAGTATCGAAGACGGAAGTGTATAAAAGCTGCAGAAGTCGGTTATCTCATGGCTTTCTGGACTTTCAACCAAGTAACTATCCACAACATCTTCCTTCGGCAGAAGCCAATGCTCCACGTCATCCTCGTCAAAATCGGGCGCAACCACAAATTGGTTCAAATAATTCCTGAGCAAACGAGTCACCGCAGGTACATCGTGCGGCTCCATTTTTCTAAATCCAGGAGTTGCTGTCTGATCTGGCAACTTGTACAGCTTAATCGTACGGCTCATAGTCATTCTTGCACCGAGCCTCGAAAACCCTACATCGATTAGCTTCTTAGGGTTCAAAGACCTGTGCCAGTACTGACAAGTGGTTATCGGTGTAGGCAGAACAACACCAGCAGTATAAGCAGCCTGCCATATATTCTCGAGATGGACCCTTCTAGTAACTTCTTTGATCATTACAGGTGCGAGTCTCTTCGAACGGAGCTTCTTGTGAACGCACAAGAAATTCACCTCCGCCATCATTACAACCTCGTTTCGGGCCCGGATTTTTGCGGGGATTCCTGTAATGAAAGCAACCAGCTTTTTAGAGCTCTTTGCACGCACTCCGATGTGCCAGCTTCGGAAGTAGCCTGGTGGGCGTAGGGCCCACCGGAGAAACTCCTTCGAGTAGTTGAATCGGAACATGTTCTCGTCATCTTCAACGTAGTTGTTCGTCAGTAAAGTGTACACCTCGCTGCAGACTTCCTCGGAGTCTAGATCGCATGTGATCCATTCGTATGGAGATGGGAGATTGTAGGGTTCTTGTTTGACTTCGGAAATCGGTGTGGGTGGTTCGATTGGGCCTTCGGTTAGGCTAGAGTCACCGAGATCTTTGAACTGGCCCACCGGTTGGGTTTCCCAGAATTTGTGCCTCTTTGAAAGTGAGAGCGATTCTTGGACCTTTTTCGCCAGTGCATCAATTGATGTTTCGGTTTCGGTTTCTGAAGGTACGATGTTGTCGACAGAGGAAATGTTGCTGTCAGCTGGTGTGTCTTTTTCGGCCATTCTTAGTTGACTTGGTCTGACATTCATTAAAAGAACAACATACATTACATTTCCAAATTCCAACATACGTTAGATTTACAAAAGTTTAGCTGTAAGATATAATCTTGTACAAGACCAATTAAATTCACGTCACGATCGACATGTTTTAGCATGAAAGTTCCCAGATTCTACGAACCCACGCATATGCAACAAAATTCATTCAACTAAAAAGGATATAATACTCAATTCCCATATGAAATCAACATACTCAGTGAACCCATATCGATATATATACACAAAATAAAAAAAAAATCAACACTATTTGCTACGCAAATCCAATCAATTCTTCAAAATAGCTGACATTGAATTAGCTTAAATAGAGGACAGTCCATTCACAGAGGAATTCTAAGTCATAAAACCCTAATTCAATCAATCACACAATAATTTTTTTATTCCTGCTAAAATTCGCATTCTTTCCAGAGAAACCCAGATCACAATTTTACACAAAGTTACTCGAATTGCACAGTAACTGCAAATTAAGCTAAAAACAAGCATTGCTAACTCGCAGTATCGAAATACAGAATATAAGATCTAAAAATCAGCAAAAAATCAATAAAACATGAAATTGGGAGAGCGCGTTACCTTAAACACGATAATCAATCTCCACGAAGGCAATTTACGGAGATCTGGGATTGTCGAGAATTTGGGCAGAGAGAAAATTAAATGGAGATTTATTATTCAGAAAATAAATAAAAAAGATAATATTACATGGAATTTGAGCTGAAGGCAATGATGTTGGGGGGGCAAAAGAGGGATCTTTAGTCTCCCTTAACCCTAACATACATGGGCATTTTGGACATTTCATAGGGCGGACTTTGCAATTTATTTTAGCGAAATAGCACTTTAACCCCTCCTTATACTTTATATTAGCATATAACCCCTTTGACTTTCAATAATTTCATCTTTCTAACGAGCAAATAATTTTTTTTGTCGAACAATAGGAATTGTGTGATTAAATATGATTGTATTTGAGTCGAACTTGAATACTTAATATTAATCTTTTTTAAATATTATTTTTAAACAAATTTAATTCCATACTCTATATAATGCAGCTATGTATTCAAAATTTTAAACTTAATTTATTATATTACAATTTCAATGAAATTGTTAGGTAATAATCCTACTTTAGGTAATATTACTTTTAAAAATAAATTATTATTTGAAGTGGAACATAAATATAGTACTAACAAATTTTTAGGTCTCCATTATATAATTATTAATTATTAATTTTTAATAAATATAAATATAATTCTATTGGGATTTTGGTATTTGCCCTAGCCGCAATTCAGTATAAAAAGGAAAACCCTTAACGCAGCTCTTATTTTTGGCAAACAGAAAAAGCGATTCCTTTCACTCTTCTTTGTTCTCCAACTCCGCGGCGCAGATCCGAGGAGTTATTCAGCAAATTTAATCAGCCCTAAAACAAGTTTTTCTTCACTCCAATTGAAAAAGGTTCGATCTTTTTCTCGTTGCTTCTTTTTTCCTTTTTTTTTTTTGTGTGTGTTTTTTTAGGGTTCATGATTTCCTGATTTGGAGCTTATCTTTGTCGGTGTTTTTACGGATTCAGTTGTGATTGATCTCTTATTTTATGTTGGAATGGCGCGAACGAAAGGTGGTGTAGCTAATGTGATATGTCTGTTTAATGTTTATTGGTTTTTTT